AGGGCACGTGGGGCCCTGGAAGGGCTGGGGCTGGCCAAAGATTTCCCTGCTCCTGGGCAGTAGAGCAGGGTGAGCTCCTCTGGGGTGGGTGACTGGCGGGGCCCCTTCTGCCCCATGGCCAGATTGGGCCCTCCAAGCTCCTTTCTGCCTCTGTACTACTTGCCCTGCCCTCAGCAGCCCCTGTAGCTGGGGCCCAGCCCTGAGCTGAGGGCTGTGGTCCTCTCCTCCAGGACCTGGGAAGGCTGGCCAGCCCCTCCTACAGTCCTGGGACTGGGACTGCCAGCTCAGGATGTCAAAGGCCGGAGGGGCAGGACAGTTAGGACAGGCTCAGGTAGGGGCCCATGTGGGAGGGCCAGGGTGTGTCCCTACTTCTGTCCCTGGAGGAGCAGGTAGGGGTTCGGGTCCTGCCTAGAGAGACCTGAACCTGTCACCACCCCCCAGAGGAAAAATGTGCACATCAATGACAACGTCCTGCACTCGGCCTTCGAGGTGGGAGCACACAAGGTGGTCTCCTGTTTGTCTACCTGCATCTTCCCTGACAAGACCACCTATCCTATTGATGAGACCATGGTGAGAGGACCCACTGCGTCTGGGGGTGGGGTGGGGCTGGGCCTGGGTAGGGCCGGGAAGCATCAGTCTCCTCTGCTCCCCCAGATCCACAATGGGCCACCACACAGCAGCAATTTTGGCTACTCCTATGCCAAGAGGATGATCGACGTGCAGAACAGGTCCTCCTGGCACCTGCCCAGCTGAGGCCAGCCAGGACTATATAGGGGAAGAGGGCCGAGGAGGGGTGGGGCCTAGTGGGTAACCCTGTAGGGCTCCCAGGCCTTATCTCCCTCCTTTGCTAGCCTCTGGTTTTTCCATCGATGAGAGGCCAGGTTGGGTGGGGTGAGTGGTCCCAGAGCAAGGGCCAGAGGAGATGCTGTGCCTCTGCAGGGCCTACTTCCAGCAGCACGGCTGCACCTTCACCGCTGTCATCCCCACCAATGTTTTTGGACCCCACGACAATTTCAACATCGAGGACGGCCATGTGTTGCCTGGCCTGATTCACAAGGTGCACCTGGCCAAGAGTGAGTGCCCATCACCCAGCACAACGGCCAGATCACCTTCCTAATGGGGTCCCTGGAGCTCAACTGGGAGGTGCGAGGTGGTTGGCACAGCGTCTGATGCTCACCCCTCCCTGAATTTGCAGGCAGCGGCTCAGCCCTGGTGGTGTGGGGCACAGGGAAGCCTCGGAGGCAGTTCATTTACTCACTGGTTTGTGCTGGAGGGTGCATAGTTGTCCCCAGAACATCTCCCCAGACCTGCCATGCTAGCTGTGGGGAGGCATGGGGGAGCCTGGGGAGAAGGGGGGGTCTGGGCTGACACCCTGGAGGAGCAGCCACTGGCCCTTGCTGAGTCCCTGTAGGTACCCTGCCCCGTGGTATTTGCAGGGTGCAGCTCTGTGGTCGGTGGGAGAAAGGACTTGGTCCACTAGGGCTGCGCTGGCCAAGGACTGCCCAAAGGGAGGGATTCCAGTCTCTGGGCTATGCCACCACTGGACAAGGGTGCTTGGGAGAGGTGACCTGTGGCTCCATTTAGCCTTAACTTGTGGCCTTTGACCCTGCCTGTCTGACTTAGGACCTGGCCCGGCTCTTTATCTGGGTTCTGCGGGAATACAATGAAGTGGAGCCCATCATCCTGTCAGGTGGGCACCTTCCAGCCCCACCCCCACTGCAGCAGCAGGAACATCCTTCGGGGGTTGGGTGGCAGTGGGGCCCAGCAGAGGAGGCTTGACATGGCCTTCGGCCTCTCGCTTTCCACAGTGGGCGAGGAGGATGAGGTTTCTATCCAGGAGGCTGCTGAGGCCGTGGTGGAGGCCATGGACTTCCACGGGGAGGTCACTGTATCCTTTGGTGCTGGTGAGGCACTGTGGACAACTCTGCTCAAGACTGCGGGTCTCATGTGCAGATGGTGCTCACCTTGGGAGCTCGAGGGCAGGTCTGCTGTTCTCCCAGAGGCACCCCAGGGAAAGGCAGAGGAGGTTCATGGGGCGGGGGCGCTGCATCTTCTGCTATGGCCTTGACCAGGCGCCCAGTTTGATACAACCAAGTCAGATGGACAGTTTAAGAAGACAGCCAGCAATGGCAAGCTGCGGGCCTACCTGCCGGAGTTCCAGTTCACGCCCTTCAAGCAGGGTGAGCGCCCTGCCCCTCCCACAGCCCTCCCACCCCCACCCCTCAAGACCTCTTGACCTCTCCTTCTTGGCTTTGGGCGACCCTAGGCCTCAGCTTCCTACTGTTAGCTGGGGATGGACACCTTACAGGTTTGGTCTCCAAACCCTCATCAGGCATCAGGAAACAGGAGTAACTACTCTGCTGCTGAGGCCTCCCGCCCTCCCCACCTCCATGGAGGTCAGTGCAGCCCTGGCCTTCATCTGCCACCCCCTCACCTGCTCTCTGCAGCTGTGAAGGAGACCTGTGCCTGGTTCACCGACAACTACGAGCAGGCCCGGAAGTGAAGCACAGTGGTGGGCCAGGTGCCAGCTTCCCTCCAGACCCCTGCGGCTGCTCGGCTGGCAGAGCTCAGTGGCAACCACCCTCACCCTCAGACCCTACCAGGAGTCAAAGGCGCTGCCCAGCAACTTGGGCCCACATTCCAACCCTCCACCAGGGTGGCTCCAGGCAGCTGTCCAGTGGGGCCACCGTTCATGCCGTCCTCAGGGAAACCAAGGCCTGGCTAGGCCCGGCACCTTGTACTCAGTACCAGTGCCCAGGTCCTGAGAAGGTCCACTTCTGAGCTTGCTCTCCCATTCCTGGGAGCCAATAAAGTGCATTTCACAGGCCTGGTCCTGGCAGCTCTGTTCAGCCATCCCTCACACCAGGCACCACCTCCCCTAGCCTGGCAAGCCCCAGGACCTGCCCTCTACCTGCTGACTGTTCAGCCCCTGAAAGATGCTTGGCCACGGTGGCCAACTGTCCCTGGGGTGGCAGAGGTGGAGACATGGAGAGGCAGGTGTGTGGGCAGGAAGCAGACAGGCTACAGGGGTGAGACAGGGTGGACTGTTGGCCAGTGGGGATGCAGGGTTGGGTATTCCCTGCTGGAGCCCTGGCCACTAGCAGGCCTGGTGACCTGAGCTCCCAAGGACTTTCCCCCTCGGCCCCAGGACTTTGAGGGAAGACGATGGATCTGGATTTGGACAGGCTGAGGGGAGGATGGTGATTGGGAGGCTCGGCTTTTCCTGGGATTACAGGAGAGAGCTGAGCCAGGCCTGGCCCCTCATCTCCCTACCCTCCTCAGGTGGGCGCTTGGGTGATCGGGCCCAGCCTGCCCTTCTCCCATGAACAGTAACAGGTGTCACCCAGGGGGCCCTACTGGGCCTGGTGAGCAGGGAGGTAAGTTACAGGCCTCCCGTTCTCAGTAGGGGCAGGGCAAAATCCAAACAGGTGGAACGACAGGTTCTCCTGACCAGCCAGTCAGCACTGGGATGTGGACCCTGGAGTACCCAGCTCCAAAGCCCTTTGCTGTACTGCCTCACCCAGGACCCAGGCACCTTCCCCAGCCTGCAGCCCACCTCTTCTCAGGGCCTTGCTCTCCCAGTGCCAGACACAGGAGTCCCAATCTCTTCCCAAGCCCAGCTGGCCTCTCACTGCACTTGTCTCAGGGAAGCCCAGGTGTTTATCCTGGGGGCCTTCCCAGGGCTGGCCTGGGAGCTCCCCTCATGTGAGTGCCTCCCCACCTTTTAGGTCTCAGCTGTGGTGGGTGGTCCTTCACTTCTGAATGCCCACCTTGCCATGCAGGATTGTAGCACTGTCCGTTTGCTTGTCTGGAAACACCTGGGAGGCTCCCTCTCTTCCCAGGACTTGGAGCTCCAGGACCATTCATTGTGACCCCTGGGCACCAGCCCTTTGTACATGAAGGCTACCCATATGGGGATTCAGAGATGGGCTGGAGTGGGTGGCGCCTGAGTTAGAGCTTGGATCAGCCAGGTAAGAACAGTGCAAAGGAGGCCAGCACAGAGCAGAGAGGCCTGGACACCCCTGGTGGGACACAAGTAGTAGTTGTCAGTCCTCAAGTCTCAGGAAGGCCTCCTGCCTCCTCCCTGCAGCGCTCTGGGAGGCCCACGGAAACCCGGATCCGGGCTGGCCAGAGGAACTTGAACACTGAGAAGTGAGACATCTGCCCACACATTTCACTGGCAGTGCTAATTTCACGCTGTCACCTGGAGCCGCTGCAGCTTGGGGGGAGCTGGTCACAAGCTCTAACCAGGCAGACCCATCCTTTCCACCTGAGCCCACTGCCAGGCTTCAAACAGGGCGCTCTGAAAACGCTGCTCCGCAGAGAAACCGGCCTGAGGCTGGCAGGGCCCCACTCCCCTGCGCCGATCTTCGTGAGGACAGGCCGGAGTCCGGGCCCTGCCTGCTGGTCTTTCATCAGAATCAGGGCAGATGTAACTCCTGGGAACTCAGCTGCCCAGGGACCATCAATCAGTGGCCTCCGGGGCTCTGCGGCGTCCGGACGAGGGACACCCACCAGGCACGTTCCAGGGCACCGACCTCCGGGACGGGGTCAGAGGAGACCCCACCTTTCCCGATTTGGGCTTTGAATGGAGCTTTTCAAGCTGCCTTTGGAAAACCAGGGTCTGATGTGCACATCCGAGCAGAATTCTGCCACGGCTCGTCACCGCCCTCAGCACCGGGACCCAGGGTCCCAGGCAGCCAGGCTCCTTCGCGCGAAACAATCCCCTGCGCCGCCAACTCCGCCTCGCCCCTCCCGGTGTGCCGCCCCCGTGGGCGCCCCGCCCCGCCCCGCCCCCCTAATCTCTGACGCAAAACTCGGACCAATGAACAGAGGGAACCGGACCCACTGCTCTACGTGCTGTAGAGCGCGGACCCGGAGCCCGACGGGAGGGGGCGGAGCGTACGTTCCCAGCAGCCAGTGACGGGGAGGGGGCGGGTCAGCGTGGCCCAATGAAGGGGCGAGGGGCGGGGCGAGGCGAGGCCTGAGGCGCCGGGGAGAAAAGATGGCGGCGGTGGCTGCGAAACCCGACTCTCAGCGGGTGGGCTTCGTGGGCTTCGTGGGCGCGGGCCGCATGGCGGAGGCCATCGCGCAGGGCCTCATCCGAGCAGGTGGGGCGCCGCAGGCGGGTGTGCACGCGGGGGCTTCCGACGCCGGCTTGGTGTGGGAGGGACGGGCATGCCGGGCGGGAGCTCACCTGCCCAGAAACAGGAGTCCCGCTGTGCCTCTGGGCGGAGCCTGGGCAGCCAGGGCCTGCGCACAGGGGTCCCAGGTGGGGCAGGTCCGGGCGGGGCCCGGCGGGCGTGGGCCAGGGCTGGACGCGGACCCTGCTCTGCGGACTCGACTTCCCTCTGAAAACATGCCAGGAGTCTTAGAGTCGGCTGTCCCCACAGTAGCCACCAGCCACACGTGGCCATAGAGCACTTGAAATGTGGCTGTCCGAACTGTAGAATAACGTATACACCGGGTTTGGAAGATGCATCACACAAAAAAAGGAAAAGGAAGGTGCTACTCTGGAGTTTAAAATATACACTGCAGTTAACTTCACCTGGACCTTGTTTCATATGACTACTAGGAAATGTAGTTGCATGTGTGGCTCCAGTGATACTTCCCTTGGACAGGGCTAGCTCAGGGCCTGGAATCTCCCGCCAGCTCTCTGGCCTTGGTCCTGTTGCTTCACCTCTCTGAGACCCTGGTTCTTCTTCCTGTTGGTATGCCGGCTTCAGGCCTGGTGGCACCCTGGAGGATTTCTCTACCTCCGCACTAGGGACATTTGGGGCCAGATCGTCCCCTGTGGAAAACTGCTTTACTGCAAGGGATGACAATGCTGTTTTAACCCTACTCCACAGTAATTAGAAATCTTTACGTATGGATAATGGGCTGGCTTTCTGCCCTTGGCCATATATCAGAGTCCAGAGGGGCCAAAATTGGTCACAAAATCGTTGACTACAAGTCTCAAGTGTTTTACCTATAAAGCCCAATAGTATCATCTGCCTCCCAGGCCTGTCCAGATTCCGTGTTGTGCACAGTACTGGTGTGTGTGTTGCATAGTGGACATCACAGCCATGATTAATCAACGCTGGGCTTAGGTTTGGGGTGCACTTCTGCCATCCTGTTAGAGTCTAACAGTTAGACACTACAGAAATCTAACCTTCCTTGCCCCCCCAGACTCCACAAACACAGGTGATTTCTATTAAATAAGCACCTAGCCTCTTCTCGGACATCCCAGCACAGATGCACCGTCTCCCAGAGAAGCCCAGCCCCCATTGGGCCTCCCTCCCCATGATGTCCCCCTCCTCTCCACACTTCCTGTCCCTGGAGGCAGAGGCCCTTGGGATCTGTGTCTTCACAAGACAAGGCAAGCTTGTGGCCCCTGTGTCCAGCAGGGCCTCTAGATTTCACAGCAGCAGCAGGCAGTGGTGGTGACTCCTGAGAGGACTTGTGCCGTCTCTTGGCCGCCAGGGTCGGTGCAGCGCAGTGAACCTACAACCACGTGCTGGTTGGAGTGAGAGGAAGCTTTGCAAGAGAGCAGATGCTCCACATTTCTGGACGCAGTCCCATTTATTTGCAGATGGCTACCCCCAGGTTAAAATTTCCTTGAAGCCAAAAGATAACCAACCCTTAGTCACATGCAAATGAAACACCTAATACACCTGGGCAGGCCAGGTCTCCCCACCCCATCCCACCCTCGCCCCACCAGGTGAGAGTGCTCAACACAAGGTTACGAAATGTCTGTCTTCCACCCCCCAACTCCACAGACTTGAATAGATCTGCTTGCCTGGTCCTGGCTGCATGGAACACCCCTGCTTAGCACTTGGGTTCTTGGGAGAGTCTTAGGCCAGCCAAGGGCCATGATGGCCCAGGTGTGGCTGAACCTGACAGCCTTCAGTAAGGGGCAGGCCAGGCTAGTTCCCTCCCCCTCCTTCCTTTTAACCCACGTCCTCAATAGCACCAGCCCTTTGCCTTTCTCTCCAGGAAAAGTGGAAGCCCAGCATGTGCTGGCCAGTGCACCAACTGATAGGAACCTCTGCCACTTCCGGGTGAGCTGGGGCCCAGTTCTTCTGAATTGAGGCTTCCTCCAGGAGCCCAGGGGAGCTCTTGGCTCCTGTCCCTCTGAGACCTTCTTAAGGCCAGGGAAGTACTGCTTATGTAGCTAAAGTTTGACGCTGGCTGGGCTGGGCTGAGCTGAGGAAGGGTAGGTCAAAGGCCAGAAAGAAAGTTAAGGTTGTGGAGGGCCGGGGCAGAGTAAAGTGGTGTGGGTGGGTGTGTATTTGTGAGTGTGCACATGTATGTGTATATTCACATGCATGCATGCATGCAAATGTTGGGATGGGCAGAGATGGTCATGGGAACTTACTGGGGTTGGAGGGCTCTCAGAGATGCAGACATCAGGGTGTCAGTGAGGCTCAGGGTTGGGTCCTGAGCAAGAGTGGGTGGTCTGGGTGAGTCTGGGGCAGTAGGAGTAGGAGTGGTGCAGACATTTGCGATGGGAGAGACCCATGGGGACCCTTGGGAATGCAGGGAGAGATCCTTGGGGACCAGTGGGAATGCAGGGAGACACCCTTGGGGACCAGTGGGAATGCAGGGTGGCCTCCAGCCAGAAGGGCTGTGGTCTAGGAGGATGCCAGCTTACCTTGTCCTGGTCCCTGCATTCCCGGTACAGGCTCTGGGCTGCCAGACCACCCATTCCAACCAGGAGGTGCTTCAGAGTTGCTCACTGGTCTTCTTTGCCACCAAGCCCCACATCTTGCCAACTGTCCTGGCAGAGGTAGCCCCCGTGGTCACCTCTGAGCACATCTTGGTGTCTGTGGCTGCTGGGGTCTCTCTGAGCACCCTGGAGGAGGTGAGTGGCCCATGGGGATGAGGTTCAGATGAGGCTGTGAACCCAGAATAGGCTGTTCTGGCCAAACTCAGCTTCCCAGCCTCTGCTGTCCCAGACCAGCTCCAATCTGGGTTTAGCATGGGTGGGACAGGAGTCAGACAGCCTCCTAGCTGGCTTGCAGAAGTGGCCAGGAGGCTAAGGGGACGAGATTAGGATTCCTCCTGGCACTGCATCTGAGAAGCAGTGGAGGGAGCCTGGCTGAGGTGTGTGCCTGCCTGGCAGGCTGATCTCACAGGCTCTCTGATTGAAGCCTCTCTCTGGCCAGCTCCTTCCCCCAAACGCACGGGTGCTGCGTGTCTCTCCCAACCTGCCCTGCGTGGTCCAGGAGGGGGCCATGGTGATGGCCCGAGGCCGCCATGCTGGGAACAGTGAGGCAGAACTCCTACAGACTCTGCTGGAGGCCTGCGGGCAGTGCGAGGAGGTGCCTGAGGCCCACGTGGACATCCACACTGGCCTCAGCGGCAGTGGTGTGGCCTTTGTGAGTGTTGCCTGGTCCCCCAACCCCCACAGGCCAGCCATCAGCCAAGTCCCTGTAGCTGCCCCTACCCTTGGGGCCCGATGGCGTGGTCCCCGGCTACCTGTGAGTTCTGCTTCCCCCCACATCATTGCCTTTGAGCAGCTGGCTGTTGGCAGACCCCTGGGCTCAGGCCTTGGCCCTGGGCCCTGCACTGGTGGCTGGTGTTCTGGGCCTTGTTCCTGAAGGTTCTGAGCCTTCTCCAGGCTGGGTGCTGTGTCCAGGGGAGTGTTGGCTTTGATACCACTGCCCCCACAGGTGTGCATGTTCTCTGAGGCCCTGGCTGAAGGCGCCATCAAGATGGGCATGCCCAGTGGCCTGGCTCACCGCCTTGCTGCCCAGACACTGCTGGTGAGTGACTGCAGCCCCAGGGTAAAGAGTGAAAGGGGATGGGCCTCTGTGCCTCCAGGGAGCAGGGGGTTGAGCTGGAGAAAGAAGGGGCTGCCTGCCTCTCCCTGAGTCGCTGGCTCTAATGTTCCTCTCCCCAGGGGACAGCCAAGATGCTGCTGCAGAAGGGACAGCACCCGGCCCAGCTGCGCACGGACACGTGCACGCCCGGCGGCACCACCATCCATGGGCTTCACGTCCTGGAGCAGGGCGGGCTGCGAGCAGCCACCATGAGCGCTGTGGAGGCTGCCACCTGCCGAGCCAAGGAGCTCAGCAGGAAGTAGGGTGCAAGTGCTGGACATGGGCCACAGCTCCTGGGTGCCCAGAGCAGTCCTGCCACCCCTATTCCCTTCTCCCTGCCCCTTCCTGAGGACTGTGGTTCTTTAACCCACAGGAGCCTCATCGGCTACACCCCGCTTCTCGCATGGGGAAAGTGAGGGATAGGACTGAGGGATAGGGGATCCCTCAGCAGTCCCTCCACCCAGGCACAAGGCCTCATGGTGATAGTTCACTGTAAGTGGTGATACACGTCTGAGGGCCTGGGCACTGGCCGGTTGGCAGAGACATGAGCAGAGCCCTTGGCACAGGAGCAGCTATGTGACCGCAGTCAGCTGGGGGACGTGGGGACATAGGAATTCACACAAGAGACCTGCTCCCTCAGTGAAGGCAGCGGTGCCATGCTGCAGGTCTGTCCTGTCACTGGGTTGGCTTGTGGCCAGGTTGGGGTGCTGCTCCAGGTTTGGGAGGATGGGCCTTGGCCAGTGGGCACTACCATCTAGCTTCAGCTGGGTGTTGGCCTCTCCCCCAGACCCTAAGCTCCTGGCAAATGGCTTAGGTGGAGCTGACTCTGATGACACTTCTTGGTCAGGAGTCCTGGAGGATCACAAGACCCGGCCTCTGACTGTAGGACCTGGCTCTCCAGCATGTCCCTGAACAGACCAACAGGCCAGGGACTGGGGCCTGAAACAAGGCCATGGGGCCTTCAGCAGTGGGGGTGAGGGGGTATTTGCACCTCTGCCCCTATACTGCCCCCGAGGCTGGTACCTTGCCCAAAAAGGCCCCAGAGGCTGGAGCTCCCCCGGCTTTTACCCAGTTCCCGCTGCCACCTACCAGGGGAGGCTTCAGGAAAGGAACCTGCAAGGCGTCTGAGGCTCCCACGCAGCAGCTCTCCCGAGCTGACCTGGTGGTCTGCCATCTGCTGTCCATGACCCCTTCTTCCCGGGCCTCCAGCCCCCACCCTGTTCCTACCTTCCTTTGGTCCGACCTGGGCCTGCCACTTGTTAGAAGGGTCAGCCTGAGTTCATTTCCATGGCAGGTTTCTTTACCTGTGAAACGGGAATAAAACTGCTGTCCTGTAGCATGGAGTGACTGATATTTAATGGGAGGTTGATAAAACCAAATTCCAGGGGCCTGGCAGCACATGAAAGTGACCTACACCATCTCCTGAGATCCCTGCACCTCAACTCACCCTCCGCCATCCAGCAGTGGGCCCCAGTGGTACATCACCTTACAGTCCTCGGGGACCAGAGTACTCCCTGAATGAGAGTCACCTTGGTGAGCCCCCAGCCCAGCTGGAGGGGTAGCCTTGCCCCAGATGGTAGTGGCCTGTGACAGGACACATTGATTCAAGAGGGCCTGGCCCAGGAGGGGGCAGGGTTACGGCCCAATCGTTGGCTGGCCAGGTCTCTTCACCTTATACCATGAAGCTAAAATGACCTTCAGGAAACTGGCACATATGACAATGGCTCCTTCTGCAGTACTGTCCCACTTTTATACCCTCCCCACTTCTTCAACATGCATCTTAGGTCCAAGCACTGGGTCAAAGGTACACAAACAAGACTTTAGAAGAGGGGTGAGGGTGAAGTTGACACTTTCAGCCTTTATTATAAAGTACATTGGGTCCGTCTGACCCAGTGAACTCTGCCATCAGTGTGGTTGAATGTGAAAGGGCCCCTCACAGAGCATGCTGCCCACCAGCCCACAGTCCTGTCAAGGATACACCACTGGAGTTAGGCCTCACCTGTGGGCACCCTTAACCATGGGCCAAACTGTGCCCAGGGCCCTGCTCCCATCTGGTTCCCCACAGCAATCCCAACCTGCACTTCGGCCAATGGGCCGGGATCCCTGGACCCTGGACCCCTCAGCTTGAGGGCACTCCCCTTCCTTACGTCTCGCTCAGACATTTCATCCGCCAGCTGGCATCTGGGGGCCACTTCCCAAGCACACAGCCCCCTCAGTAAGGCAGCATGCCCCGACTGTTGCAGGCTGATCTCACACCCCCAAAACATGCAGATCAGGGGTGCTTTCAGCAGAAGCCTGTGTATACTTTTATGTTCCTCGCCCACTGCCAAACCCATGGGGGAGCTCACGATGACCCTGACCACGGGCCACTGGAAGGTCAGTGACTTTAACTGCCTTTGTCAATGGGCTGTTAACAGGATAGGGAGAGGCTGATGACTTTGTCCCCAAGCACCTCCCAGGCTACAGGAGTCCCCACACCACGGCAGGGAATGTATAATCCTCCAGGGCAAGTTTCCAGCTTGCGGACAATGGGTGAAAGGGTTCTAGCAGCATCACACCAGCCCCCCACCCAGTGTCACCCACCACATTCTCAGGTCATCACACACCAGGGTGACATGGTCAAATACCCATGGGCCCAGCAGATAACTCCGAGGGCAGGCTGTGGAGTGAGGCCACCAACCAGGGCACACTTCAGCCGCTATGCCGCAGAGACAAATGGGTCTCCCACTGGAAGCGTCTGCCCAGGTGCCCCATGACTTCACACCGAGCCCAGGGAGATGCAGGGCTGGGATGGGGCCCCAGGGCAACCTGGGACTATGATGACATGTTAGTGGGACTGCCCACAGGGCCAGGCACCTGCAGCTTCTGCCCCAAGGCACATGCAACAACCTGCACCTCCATTCTAGAGAGGACACCTTTACACGCTCTCTTGTGAGAGGATCCCCTTCCCCAGCAGAGCAAACTTGGCTAGCACTCAAACTAGCTCCTCAAGGCCCCAGGCTATCATGGACTGGCCTCGTTTTACAGTCCCCATTCAGGGACACCCAGACAGGCCAGAGCCTCCTCTTGGGGTGCAGCAGCAGTCCCCTAGATGGGAGGAGCCTGGTGTGATGTGAAGCAGCTCGAGAGGCATGCAAGAGATCCGATGTGGGCCTCATTACCAAATCCAGGCCGCCTGCACAGGCCCACAGAGGGACAGACTGGGAAGAAAGACCTGAGATGGAAACCTTGGCCAGTAGGCACAGTGCTGATGCAGGCTGAAGGGTCCCTACCAGAGACCACTTGGGCCACATGGAGCCTCAGGTGCACCCTCGCCTGCTGCCCATCTGTGCTGAGGTCTGCCTCCCACACACCCAGCGGCTCCTAGCCCTGGGTCCCAATGAGCAGGAGCAGCAGATGTTGTAAAAGGCAGGATGCCTGAAGCCCCAAGCCAGATCCAGCGCCAGCCTGACAGCCAACGGCTCCTCTGGGTGTGCAGGCTCCAGACAGCTGGCGGGAGGTGTCAGGTGGGCCTTCCCTGGAGTGACTGCTCTGGGCCTGGCTCACTTCCCTTGCTCCCAAATTCTCCACACCTTCCCTCAGCTTTCAGATTCCAGATGTGTGTTTTGACTGGGGGAGGTTCTTGGACTTGTGTGGAAATTGCTCAGGGGCACCCTCTAGCTGCCTCCCTGAGGTGCAGACATCCACAAACACCACCTGTCTGCAGCCTGGGGACACCAAGATGACATGGGGCAGAGGATTCCGGGACAGGCAGTGCCCCACTGCCAGTCCCCTAACCCTCATGAGGGCTCTGGGCAGCATCTCTGCCAAGGCAGCCCCTAGGAGGGACAGGCATCTCTGGGCTTCAGACTGCCAGCAGTGATCTGAATCCACAGTGGACGTGGCAGCAGACCATAGAAGAGCTGGGCCAGAACACAGGAGGCTCTTCTCCCCTTTCAAATTGCCACCCAGAAGTCCAATTCCTGGGCTGGGGAAGCAGCTGCTCAGCCACGCCTTTGGCTGTGCCAGGGAGGGGCGGTGCTGGGGGCTCTAAGGCACTGCACTTGTTCTGAATGGCTGTCAGTGTCAGGGGGCCTGCTTCAGGTAGGTGGGTGGCCTTGGGCCCTGGACAGTGTGGGCTATGACTGCTGGGAGAGTCCAGGGAGCTTGTCCAGCAGCATGCCAACCCCATGGAATAAGAAAGCTGTTCAGAAAATGTATTTTCTTAAGGAAAATTAGAAGTATCAGTGGAACAGAAATCTATGCCCGATGCATCCAGAACATCAGGAGGCCTGAGTGCTGGGTACCACCCTCCCTTCCCAGCCCATGGAGCCATCCTTCAAGCCTGGGCCTAGGCTCCCCTTCCCCCAGAGTATCTGTAAAAATGACTTAATTCTATAAAAACAAAGCGGAGGGGTGTGCCTCCCCACTGAGAAACCATGGCTGTGGTTGTGGCACAGAAACCACAACACCAGGGCTCAGGGTGGATAAGAGGACAAGACCCTTGTTCAGTGCAAGCTGACAGTGGAGGTTAGGGGTGGCAACGGCTGGAGGCCACAGCCCTATGAGACCAGGTCAGGAACACAGCACACTGTGCTCTGCTAAGTGCTGTGGTGTGTGCAAACCAAGTGTGTGTGGGAGGGCTCCTAGCTGAGACCACAGACCCCACCTGCTTGCTCAGGGAGGAGCATGAGCCCAGGGCCTCTCTTCCAGCTCCTCCCAGGAGACTGGGGGACCAGTGGAGCAGGATGACCCTTCCAACAGAGCCCCTCCAAGCCTACTGGGGCTGGGATCCCTGTAACCCCTAGCCATGGGGTGGGCCACTCCAGGGGAGGGGAGGAGGGCAGAGGGAAACTGTGTGTCCCCTCCCTCCAGGTGCAGCAGGACAAAGGCCCCTGGGGAGCCAACAGGACTGGCTTGGTCACACCCCATCATCAGGGGCTACAGGAGAGGGCCCAATGCCCCCCAGCCTCCTGGCTGTGCTGATCAGTGACCGCAGTTGCACCAGCTTCAGAGGCCCCACCTCCTGGGGGTCCTGGCTCTCCAGCCACCGAAGAGCTGTCTCCAGACCCCGAACAGCTTCCCCAGCAGTGGGCACAGCAGCCTCCTCCTCCTCCTCTCCCCCCTCCATGACAGAAGACAGGATGCCAGAGGGTGGAGGAGCCACAGAGACCAAGGAAGAAGGCCGGCCAGGGCCTGCCTCCTCTCTGCAGCCCTCAGGCAGGCCCCCATCATCATCCAGGTGCAGCCACTCAGCCACCTCCTCGGGGGCCAGGCGCTTGTAGGCCAAGGCTGCCAGATGTGTGAGGTCGCTGAGCACCCTGCTGTGCTCAGCATTCTCCTCAACCTGGCCAGCTGGTAGCCCAGCACACTCCTCCTCTGGCCGAGGCTCAAAGGCGGCCCGCAAGCCCAGTAGCCAGCAGCGTTCGATGCTGCCAGCCTGCACCAGGTCCCAGGAGAGGCCGGCCAGGTAGAGCATGTCCTTGAGCATGAAGCTGCGCATGAAGTCCAGCGGGGAGGCCCCGGCGCAGGACACGGCCAGCCGAAGCAGCTCCCGCTTGTACAGCTGCTTGAAGGCAGCCACCACTCCCTGCTCCAGTGGCGCAGGGATGTGCGCTCGGCTGCTGCCCTTGGACAGGAACAGCACCCGCACAGCCCCGTCAGGGGTCTGCAGCTCCTCTGGAGGGCTGAGGGGCTCAGGTCGGAACCGCCTGGGGTTCTCCTCACTCTCTTCCAGGGCAGGCATCTTGGCGGCTGGGCTTGGGCAGGGCGGGTGGGCGACCAGCAGCACAGCCTTCTGCTGCAGACAGCTGCGACGTAAGTAGCGCCTGACGCCGGGAACGAACTCCTCGAAGAACCAGCCCCGCAGCAGCGGGCGACTGAGCCAGGCGTCTGGGCTGTAGCGGTAGGAGGCCGGGAACTTGTCCTGGTTGTGGTGGCGCAGGCTGGGCGGGTCCGGCAGCTGCCCGATGACTAGCGGCTTCAGCTTGTGGCTGCCAGTCAGGTTAGCGGCCAGCAGCACCGTCACCCGGTCGCCCCGCCAGCGCCGGCCACAGCCCCCCGCGCCCAGGGGTGCAGCCTGCTCCGGAAGCAACTTCCAGTAAAGACCAGTGACGTTGGCGTTGTAGATCTGCTCATCGCCATAGCCGCCCTCGGCGGGGGGCGGCGGGGCCGGGGCGCGGCCGGGCAGGGGGCCGGCGCCTGGGGTCTGTGCGGGCTCCTGCTTGACCGGCGGGCTGGGCGCGGGGCCGGCGGCCGGGGGCTCGGCCTCGCCGTAGATGCGCTGGCTGGAGATGCCGTGGCGCTTCTGCCAACGCCAGAACCAGCCGTGGCTGGCCTTGAAGGTGCACTCGGGCCCGTAGATCTGGCGCGCGAAGGCCTCGGCCTGCGCCTGGATGAGCGGCCCCGACAGCGGCACGCCGTGCTGGCGCAGCGCCAGGAACCACGAGTACACGGCGCGGTCGATCTCCTCCTCGTTGGCCAGCCGCATCTTCTTGCGCTGCGTGCCCACCTCGCCGCCCAGCTGCTCCAGGAACCAGCGCAGCTTCGGCTCGTCTTTGAGCCAGCCGCGCAGCGTGCCGCCGGGCACGCCGAAGTCGCGGCACACGCTGGCTTGCCGCTCGCCGCCCTTGACGCGCTCGATGGCCTGCAGCTTGTCCTTGATGGAGTAGGCCTTGCGGAAGGCCATCTTCACCGCCACGCGGGGCCGCGAGGCGGGGGCCGGGGCGGGCGCGGGGGGCCGCGGCGTCGGCGCGGAGCGTCCGGGCGCGGGGTGGCGGCCGCGGCGTGTGGCCGGGCCGGCCGGGGGACCCGTGGGATACATAGCGGCGGCGGCGGGGGCTCGGGAGCCATAAGCCCGCCCGGCCGGCCGCGCGGGGCGGGGCGCTGGGGGCGGGGCTGGCTGCGGCCCTCCCCTTTGTCTCGCCGACTCCGGGGGCGCAGGCGCGCTGGCCCCGCCCCCGTGCGTCACGCAGCGCGTGCCGGCCCGTCAGTTCCGCTCCAGCCCGACGAGTCCATTGCGCCGGCAGCGGGGGGGACGAGGTGCGCTGCCAACCCAAGTCCCAGCTGTTTGCTCCGGCTCCTCCGGGAAAGAGCGAGCCCCGTGCTGGTCTCCCTCTGGCCTCGTCTCTGCCACCGCGGAGAGAGTCGCGCGGCGGGGCGAGCCGGCCGCGCGAGCCGCTGCCCCCGGGTCCCTGCCCGCGTCGCATGGTAGACCCCGCGGTTTCATTTCCTGTGCGCGACCCCGGCGCCATCCCTTTCCTCCGCCGCCCCGCGCCGCCGAGCACTCGTCTGTGGTCGCTGCGTCCTTGGCAGGCGTGTGAGTACCGCGGCCGGCGCCGAAGGAGCCGCACGTGCTGCGGAGGCCCCACGGGCCAGGGGCGGGCGGCCCGGGCTGTGCGGCGGCTCCGGGGCGCAAGGGCCGCCGGCGTGCCGGCTTAGGGGCGGTAGGCCAAGTGCGGCTCCTGGGCCGAGCGCAGAGGGGCGGGGCCCGCCGGCCACGTGTCGGGCCGAACCCTGGGGCCGCCGGGGCCTGAGCGCCGTGGCGGGGGCGGCGGGTGGCAGGAATGTCCGACCGGCTTGGCCGGGGCCTGTAGACCTTCCTGTGTCCAGCACGTGGACAAGGCAATGCAAATTCAGCACTTAGCGTGCGCCGGCCCCGGGCCGAGGGGTACCGGCGCGGGCCCAGCCTCTTGGAACCTGGTCGGCTCGTGAAAGCGGGAGGGACAAGGACGTGGCTGCTGAGCGACCGACACACACAGGGTCCTCGGAGATGGACCGGGGCCCTGACTTGGCTAGAGAGTCCGGACGGGAGGCGATGTCGAAGGCTGTCTCTGAAGGGAAGGGTGACACTTTTCCTTGAAAAAAACGGGGCAGGGGCATTTGAAGCGGAAGGAGGGAAAGGCTGGTGCTGGAGCCATGGTGATGGAGCCGGGTGGAGGCCCCACGGAGGCTGCACATCGGGGTTTCCAGAGTGAAGGGCCACCCTGGAGCAGTTGGGTGGTCCCTGCCTCCCGGGGGAGCCGTTTAAATAGACCCTGGCAGCGGGCCTGGCCTGGGGCAGGAAGAGCATCGCAGCTCGGACTCGCAGGAGCAGCTGCTGCTTCCCCGGCTCTCCCAGCCGGTGAGGGCGCTGGCTCAAGTGCGGCTCTGCCCTTCCCGAGTCCTGTGGACAGAATGTCCCCGAGAAAGCGCCTTCTCATGGCGCGCCTGGCACAAACTCTAAGGAGCAGGTTCCCTGTGCACTTGTGCAGAGCAGTGTTCTGGCCCTGTGCCAGTCTGGGGGGTGTCCTCTAGACCAGGCTTCCCTTTCCTCACCGTGGGCTGAGGCTGCTGTGGGGTTCACGGGAGCCTGGACAGAGCGAGCACTCGGCCACCCATTCTTTTTCACCCTGCATGGGCCAGGGTGGTTGCCAGCCAGCCCCCCCCCCCCCCCCCCCCCCCGCTTTGCTTCTGCGGAGAGGGGTGAGGCTGCTGTGTTCAGTTTGGGTGAGCAAACGTGCTTGACTGGTGTTTCTGTGAGCGGTTTCTTGAAAGTGGCATTTTTTTATTTTATTTTTTATCCTCACCCGAGGACATTTTTCCATTTTTTGTTCAGGTAGAGTGAGAGGGGGAGAGAGAAACATCGACGGGAAAGGGACACATCAAGTGGCTGCCACCTGCACGACCAACCAGGGCCAGGGACAAACTGCAACCGAAGTACATGCCCTTAGTGGGAACCAAACCCAGGTCTCTCTGGACCGCAGGCTGACGCTCTAACCACTGAGCAAACCAGCCAGGGCGAAAGTGGTATTTTTTAAAGGCCAGCGAGAACACTACATCCAGCATGTCATGTGTCAGTGTCAGCTTTTTGGGGGCCACAGGCAGGAAATGCTGGCCTGAGCATTTGTTGAACCCTGGCCCTATGCCACTCCTTTGAGACGACTTGTGTATGTTGGAAGTGGGTGGCAGCGTGCGTGACATTGATGCAAAGGACAGGCATTGGAGAGAAGGATCCCCAGCTCCTCACTGACTCAGAACCTTACTTTCCCTTTCCCACTCCTGTCTACCAGCTGTGTATGAGGCCTGGACACATACACACACACATGCACACAAGCATGTGCAATGTGCACACAGAAGGGTTGAGGAAGCACGTGCACAATACTAGAGTTGCTACAAGGGCAGGGTGCAAGGAGCCTGGCCGGTGTTTGATGCAGGAATTTCGTTGTTGCTGGCTGGGCCTGTGATGGGGTGACTTGGGCAGACACGGTGTAAGTCCTGCAGGTGCAGAGGCCCCCTTTCTGCCAGCAGGACAGGTTGATGTTTCTGAGTAGGGCTTAACTACCCAGGAGTCAGAGGACAGAAAGCATCTGAGTAGGAATTTGGGGCTGTGGAGCTCCCCCAAAGGAAGGCAAAGGGCATCCTACCCATCTGTACTGTCTATACAGCTGCCCTACTACTTGCTGTTCTCATCGACATTGCAGGTGCTTGTTGCCATCTTGGCAGACGCTGCAAACAGAAAGCTGTATTACACAGCACTGGTCCCAGCCATGCCAGCCAGGGGGCCCAGAGAAAGCTGAACTGCCCACAGATCCTGGCCCCTGTGCACCTCACACCTGCTCATACTATTTCCACTTTCCATGGAAGGTGGGCATTTTTTTTTGACTCCTGGATGTACAGTCTGGGAACTCCTGTGTGCGACTGCAATTGGGGTAACATGGGCACAGGGCTATTTCAAGCATTGTCTGATGGGAAGGTGGTATAGACAGCGGGGCTGGGGGAGGGGCCATCAGCCACCCCTTCCCAGAAACCTCTGTTCACAGGTTTCTCAGCACCTTGGTGGGCACAGCTCTGACAGGCTACATCCTCATCTTCCTTCAGGGCCCTCCAGCCAGTAGTGTCCTGGGCAGGGGGTGCTGCCCAGGTTACCTGTGCTGGCACCACAAGAACTGCATTCCTGGCTCTGCAGAGGCCAAGAAGGGCCCCCAGATTCAGAGGCCCTGCAGGTTTGGGTGGACGCACCAGGCACTGGGCTGGGAATGTCACCAAGAGGGGTCATCTCTAACCAGGCCACCTGTGCTATGCCGGCTGCCTTTACCCCTAGGCCTGGTGGCCAGGCAGGGGATAATCTCTCTGGGGCCTCCCAAACCATGGGCTCCCGAGAACCCTGGCAGCTTGGCAGGGCAGTGCCCCCTTTTATGGGAGAGGTTTCAGTTTGCCTGATGGATGAGGGTTGTATCATAGTGGGGGCAGTCTAACTCTTTGCCCTGCAGATGTGCCCAGCAGCTGGTGGGGACTCCTGAGGCCATTCTGGTGTGTTTGCGAGCTTGCTTTCTGTGCTTCGAGCTGTGACTGCTGCTGCCTGTAGAACCCTCTGGAGAGGAGGGGCTGGCTGTTCTGCGGGAGAGGGCTGTCCTTACGAGAGCTATAGGTTTGCGTGCTTGTGCCTTAAAGAGAAGTATTCAAACTCCACCTCGACTTTCTACTAGGAGAGATGGGTGTTCAGTTCAGCAGGGCCTCATGGGATGCAGGCTGACAGGAACCAGGGGTGTTGAGGAAATAGAGGTAGACTCCTGCATCAGAGCCGGGCAGGGGGAGCCAGGAGCGTCCCTGTGGGTGCTGTTGGCCCTGTCCCCAGTACTGGCTTCATGCCCAAGTGGCGCTCCACCGTCCTCGGCTGTGGCAGCCTCCAGGTGATGCTCCACTGGCTAGACTGGCCCTTCTCCTTGCAGAGACATACCCCGTGTCCCCTCTGGGAGCCTCACCTCCTACGAAGTCCCAGCAGTGGTGTTGCTCCTGGAGGGAGCCTGTCTGTGCATTCCTATAGGCCAGCTGTCTCCCCTTGATACCAGCTTCTTGTCAGTCTGCTCCCATGGGGCACCTCGTGTGTCCCTGTCTGTCAGTTACTTGATGCCATGCAGGGACCTGGGTGGCAGAGCTCTTGTTGGAGCAGAGACAGATTCTTAGGGTTCTAATCGCAGGAGGAGGTGGTGCAGGGCAGGAAGGCTAGGTCTTGTCTGCCTACAGAGCCTGCCTCAAACTAGCTGAGTTTCTTGGTTCCTGGGGCATAGCATCTAGCACCTGGCCGGTCCCGTCTGGGAATGCAGTGGAGGTCCTGCCCTTTTGCACACAGCAGGGAGACTTTGTCCCTGAGACAGGGCTCTTGGGTGACCGCTGAGACCCCTGGAGTGGTCCTTGGGATCTTGTGCCTTATCTATGAGCCTGGACCTAATGGCAGTGTGGGGGCGGGGCGGGGGTGGATTCCTCTCCAGAGGGGTGCTCAGGCTGGAGCAAGGAGCAGGTAGGAGGGGTGTTCAGACGGTGCCTCCCAGGAATTGCCCATTTCAAGTGTGATGGAGGTACCTGAGTGAGTAGACTTGGTGGGTCTGTCTAGTGCTTATCTCTGCTCCTTCACCAAACTCACCTGTACGCCGCTTTGCCACGCAGCTTCTGGAAGAGCCCTCCAGCCTTCTCGGGCTGCCCTGTCTGATTGCCTCTAACCTTGCTGCTTTCTCTTCATGCTGTCCTAGGAGGTCAGAGCGAAAGTAAGTACCACCTGTCCCATGCCCCCCTGCTCCCTTCACCTGAGCCAAGAAATCCAGGTGTAGCCGGCACTGCCCTTTGGGAGTGTGGGGCCTGGCTGACCAGGCTGCTGGGTTTGTATCCTCCTCTGGAGCACAAAGTAGCTGGATTTGCTGGGTTCAGCCTCTGGTCTCCTAGGTTCAGGTGCTTCCCTGGACAGAGCCAGCTTCCACCTCCTGAGCAGGTTAGGGCTGTGGGTGGGGCATAGAGCTGTGTCCCCAGCAAGCCCTCGCCTCAGGTCCTGTGCCTTGTGAGGGTATCTAGAGAAGTGGTTTCCTCTGCCTGAGGTGTGGCTCCCAGAGCCCTGCGCACAGCCTGGTCTGGTGTCAGGAGCCAAGGAAGTGTTTAAGCCAACAGGGTCTGGCAGGGCTTGGGCACCAGGGGCCAGCCTTGTGGGCTGGGCCAAAGGGGCATCAGAGAGGTCAGGCACATGAGCCCTGCCTGGTCAGCCTCCTGCGCCTTCAGGGACAGTGAGTGATGTCACAATGCCCTGCCTCCTGGGAACACGCTCCTGCTCTCTCACCACTACCTCTGCCGTCAGCCTGGCCTTGGTAAGTGCTGCCTCCAGCCTGGGCAGAAAGGTGCCAGGGGACAGCCCCGGCACCTCACTGGGACTTCGTAAGAGGCCTGTGGCATGTGCCAGTAAAAGCCTCCAATGTACCCTCCAGAGTGTAAGGGGGACTCTCCCCCAGAGTGCTAGGCAGGGTGGGACTTCGTCCACAGGGCCCACGGGATCCTTGGAATCGGTTCTTAGTTTGCTGGGGCCTTAGGGAAGGGTCATAGAATCCACAGTGAGTAGGAGGAAGGATTTGCTGTCTAGGCTGAAAGGCTGTCCTGCTTCTGGAGACCTTGCCTCCTGGGTCTGAGGGCCTACCTGGCAGCAGGCAGACGCTCTGTGGGACAGTGGGTTGACCTTTGTTTGGCAGGGGACAGCAGAGGTGTCCTAAGGGACAGCTGCTCAGCTCCTGGCAAGTGAGCGCCTGGGTGTTGGTCAGGACACCTCCCTCTGCTTTGAGGAGTAGGGTCTACGGCTGGGAAGGAGTCCCTGTGCAGGTCACAGCCACCCTTCTGGAACAGGCCAGTTGAGTGTGCGTGCGGGGACCCTAGGCACATCCTCAGAGCAGACTGGCACGAGGCCATCTGGGCCTGGTCTGCTCCTAGCCAGAGGCTGCGGTGGCCCAGATCCCTCTGTTCTTGCCAAGTGGGGGGCTGCCTCAGCATTCTGGTCTGGTCAGCAGAGTGTGGGTGAGGCTGTTGCTCTGAGGCCAGCACCCCTTGGAAGTTGCACAGGGGCAGCAGACCACTAAGGTCACTTCCAATGAGGATGGTGGGGCTCAGGGCCCCCCACCTGCCTCCCACCATCCCAGTGATGGTGCCCCTTACACCAGACAGTAGTGAGACGGGGGGTGTCCTGATGTTCTGGGATTCAGAGAGTCCCGGTGGTCCCTTCAGTTTAGTGCACCCAAAGGTGTGAAAGGTGTGAACTGATTGCCTGCCAGTCAGAGGCGTGGTTCTTACTCTCTCCCTGAGCCACCCAGCTCCTTCCCCTTGGACAGTCACCAGCATCTGCCCTGTTGTCTTCCCTGATACGGCCTTGTGGAGGTGGGCCCTCCTCTGCTCCCAGCTGCGCACTAAGAGGCTGTCTCTTCTCTGAGACCCTGGGCAGCTCCCTTTGGAATGGGTGCTGCTGTGGATTGTGGTGTGGGTGACTCAGAAGCTGGGCGCACCACCATGGGCCATCCTTAGAGACTGCAGAGTGCTTTCTTTAAAACCAGTGCCTCAGGGGAGGTGCCTGGATTTAATCCAGTTAAAAATTCAGATAAGCAATGAATAACTTTTTAGTGTGAGTCTCAAGTATTTCATGGGATGTACTCATTGTAAAGGTTATTTGTTGTTCGTGTGAGAGTCAGATGAAGTGAGTGCACTCTCTCTTTTATCTGGCATTCTGTTGGGAGATCCTATGAGAAAAGGTTTCTGAGGTTTGGAAATAGTGTTCTCTAGATCCCTTTGGAGAGCTTGGGTACACGTTGGGTTGGAAAAGAAAGAAAAGTTTTGCAGCTAAAAGAATACATACATTTACACACTCATATGTGTATGTTATTTGCTTATTGCTTTATGGAGGTCCCTGTGGATTTGATTTGGGGTCCTTGCATGTTGTCTGATGGCACCCCCTGGGGAAGCGTCCCCAGGTTCCTCCACCCCGACAGCCAGGCTGCCGAGGGAGGGGCGGGGCACTGGCAGCCCGGCTTGCTGTGCTCAACTGCCTTCTTGTGCTTGCTTTTAACGCTGCGTGGAAGATGAGGAGCGGGAAGGCCTCCTGCGCCCTGGAGACCGTCTGGGAGGACAAGCAGAAGCATGGGGAGGCTGAGCAGCGCTTCCACGAGCATGAGGCCACGCGAGCCGCCACCGCCCAGCAGCTCCTGGTCCAAGTGCCAGCCGTGAATGGGCCGGGTCAGGAGGACACCAAGGAGGCAGAGGAGGCCGAGGCCCCTGAGAGCTGCAGGGACAGTCCTGGGAAGAGCCATGACGGGAGGCAGCCCCTGCAGAAGAAGAGAAAGCGCTCCCCGAAGAGCTGGCTCGGCAGGGCAGACCTCGCCCTCATAGGCCTCTCGGCTGACCACGTCTGGCTAGACAAGCCGCTTTTCGACCAGGCGGAGAGCTCCTACCGCCAGAGGCTGGCAGACTTGGCTGCCCAGGCAGCCCGGCCACTGGCCCTGGCCTCCAGGGGTCCTTGCACCCATGGAAGCCAGGTGGCCTGCCACCATGTGACCTGGGGCATCTGGGTCAACAAGTCTGTCTTCGACCAGGCTGAGCGGGCGTTCGTGGAGTGGTCTCAGGCTCTGCTGTTGGCCACAGAGGGGAGCAGCAGGCAGGGGGCTCCTGACACAGGCCAGCGAGCACCTGCCCTGGACCTGGCCCTCACCCACCAGCCCAGTTCGCCGGCCAATGGCCAGCCCCCATTGGGCAGCCTGCAGGCGCTGGTGCGGGAGGTGTGGCTGGAGAAGCCTCGGTATGATGCAGCCGAGAGGGGCTTCTACGAGGCCCTGTTTGATGGCCACCCCCCTGGGAAGGTGCGCCTGCAGGAGCGAGCCAGCCAGGCTGAGAATGCCAAGCGTGGCCGCAGAGACCGGCGGGGCCGCAACACCATGGGGAGCAAGCGGGCCGAGCCGAGGCGGGCTGATGGGGGGGTCCCGACGTCTGCCCTGCCTTACTGGTACTTCCTGCACAAGGATGCTGAGGCCCCCTGGCTCAGCAAGCCCACCTACGACAGTGCGGAGTGCCGTCACCACGCTGCTGAGGCCTTGCGCATGGCCTGGCGCCTCGAATCCACATCTCTGGTTCACCGACCCAGTGCCCGATCTGGCCCATCCATGTCCAGCCTGAGACCCAAGTAGGAGAAACATGCTGGATGGTTGTCAGGCCTAAGCTTCCCCAGGCTGGGGCCATCGGTGCTCCCTCCCTGTCCCCACCCCAGAGGGGCTCTCCCTGAGACACCTGGACCCGGCTTAGTTGAAGGCAGGAGTGGGTTGGGCAGTGCAGCCTCCAGGGTTACCCCTCAGGGAAGTGGTGGGGGGTCAACACCTGGCTGCCCCGTATAAGGTTTTCTTTTGCTCTGGGCAACTCCCAGGGGAGCATTGAAGGCTCCTGGCCCTTGGGCCCCACAGGGGCAAGATGTGGAAGCCAGCACACCCCGTTTGCCCCTCCTATCTGTCCACTCCTGCCTTCCTCTAAGATAAGGTGGTGTCTCAGGTACACCAGCTCACGGCCAGTCTGTCGGCCTGAGTCTGAGGATACGATACCTGCTGGGCTCTGCAGCCAGCATTCAGCCTGGGACCCAGGGGCCTTGCCCAAGGGTGGTTTCACGCAGAACCAGCAGCTGTCTCTGGAGGCCAGGGGCCTGGAGAAGGCCAGGGCTGAGGGCCTCCAATGCCGGGCCACGAAAGGTTGGCAAAAACACTATTGGACTCTAGGGAAGACAGCACAGCAGGGAGCTGGGGGCCCTGGGATGCAGGTGGCCTGGTCCCCAGGCTCCCAGTAGGAGCCCCTTGGCTCTGCCCTTCTGTGGGGTTGATCTGATGGGTTGACAGGATCCAGCTTGTGAGGGACGGCACAGCCCCATTGTGGCGGTGGGTAGAGAGCGTCCCTGTTAGGCAGTGGCGAGGGTTGGTACATGGAGCTCTGAGATCCACTTCCTCTTGCCACCAAGAGGACACTGGCGAGGTCCAGTGATGGCCTGGGTTCCCCCGCACAGAGAATTGGTGGGGTGGGGCTCATTTCTGTCATGCTGGGTGAAGAGCAGAAGGGGCTCTGCGGGCCCAGGGCTGTGACAGCTCCCCACCTGCTGAGCTGAGGGAAAGCAGCAGGTGGGCATCTGTGCCAGGGCAGCGATGTGGCAGGCGGACAGTGGCTGGGTGTGGCTCTCGGCCGTAGTTTGCTTGCCCGGGTCTAGAGCAGCAGCTCTCAGCTCACTGTCGGGGCCCCGGGAGTGTCTGTGGTGTGTGTGCGTCTGCACTGCGTTAGCAGAGGTGACGCTGTGCCCACTGGAGAAGGGTAGTGAGACACTTCTATGAGAAATGGTTTTTCTGTAAGAAAAAAATTCAACCTTGGCTGGTTTGGCTCAGACCAAAAGGTCCTGGGTCCAATTTCCAGTCAAGGGTATGTACCTGGGTTGCAGGTTTGATCCCTGGCCCTGGTCGGGGTTGTGTGGGAGACGATCGATGTCTCTCCCTCACATCAGTGTTTTTCTCTGTCTCTCTCTTTCCCTTCCTGTCCCACTCTCTCTAAAAATCAATGAAAAAAATCCTCAGGCGAGGATTAACAACCAAAATTTCAGTTATTTTTGTTTGTTTTCATTTGGAGTCCCACCTGCTTCTGTGGTCAGATGTGGGTGTGTATCTGATACAGACCCAGCCTTGCACAGATGTTGTGCTTGGACGGGGGACCTCGGGACCCCCAGAAGTTCCTGGTCACACTTTGACAGCTGCAGGTCTTGGTGACAGGCCTGGGACTGTGGCAGTGGGAGCAGGGGGTGATATGGGTGGGGGGCTTCCGTGCTCTGCCATGGAGCCTGGAGGCCTTTTCCCCCAGGGACTGGGGCAGTTGCCCTGTCTGTACCTTTGGCATCTGGACTGTTAGAAGGGGCGCTTGTGCGGTCCAGGCTGTCTTAGCTTCTCCTACTCCCAGCAGGAAAATGGCCACAAACTTCCTAGCACAGGAGAAGATCTGGTTTGACAAGTTCAAATATGACGATGCAGAAAGGAAGTTCTACGAGCAGATGAATGGGCCTGTGGCTGGCTCCTCACGCCAGGTAAGGGCTGCGCTTGGGCCACTGGGTGACCGTGCTGACGCCCAGGGGGCAGTGGCATGTTCTCCCCCAGTGGCTCTGCTTCAGGTGCTGGTGGTGGGGTCTTAGGAGGGGTGGCCCTGGCTGGCTCCCAGGGTGCTGGACCTGCTCCTGTCTCGGCACGTGACGGCACGCCCCCACTGTGCCCCAGGCTGCTGGGCAGAACAGCGCACGCAGGCTGGGCTGGGCCTGTTGTCCCGGCTGCAAGACGCCCACACCTAGCACTTCTTGCTGCCCTGCTGGGCTTTCGTTCTGCACATCACTTCCTCGTTCTCTACATAAGGGACATATAGGGTTCCTTCTTTTTTTTAGAAATTAATTTTTTTTAATGAAAAAAAGACTGGTTCTTTCTGCACTGTCTGCAGGAGAACGGCGCAAGCGTGATCCTCCGGGACATTGCGAGAGCCAGAGAGAACATCCAGAAATCCCTGGCCGGAGTGAGTACTTGGGCCCAAGCACTCGCTGGCTAGCGCTGCCGCCGCCGCCCACACACCCAAGGGCACATCTGACTGTTTTGCCCTTGGAGCAAAGTCATGGGGAGGCTGTGTTCCTGCTTGGACGTGGACCTGGGCCCAGACCACAAGGGACTTACTCTGCTTCCTTGCTGCACCTCTCGCCTGCTCGCTGGTGCTCACCTGGGTCTCCGTCCCTCACCCTGGCCACCCCTTCCTGCTTGCTCCATGCTAAGGGAAGCCTCTCTTCCCTCTTAGGCCTTGACCTCCCCAGAGGGATGGGTTCATAGGGTGTGGAGTTCGTATCACAGAATAGGCACCATCTTGAATTTGAAGCCTGGATGGGGCCCTGAAGCCCAATTCAGCTTCCTGGTCCCAGATGGGATCAGGAAAGGACAGGACCATGTCCACGTCTGTCCCTCCCTGCTTGGCCAGGGAGGTGTGTCCCTAGGAGGCATCAGACCTGCTGCTCCACCTTCCTGGAGAGGAGCTGGCACCTCTTTCTCCCTCTGGGACGTAAGGGGGTGTCCTGACCCTGAAGGCCAAGTGTTGACATAGCTGTGCTCCTGGAAACTCCAGAGAGGATCCATTTCCTTGCCTCTTCCAGCTTCTACAAGCTGCCCACATTCCTTGACCGGTGGCTTCTAGCCAGCTGTGTCGTGACTGACCTCTGCTTCTGTTTCACTGCCTTCTCTCTGCCTTTCTCTTGGGGGCTCTTGTGATGACACTGGGCTCACCTGGACAGTCCAGGGTCATCTCCTGTCCCCAACCTCATCACGTCCGCAGAGTCCCCTTTGCCACGTGAGGTCACCTGTCGGCACAGCTGGTTTCTGGGAAGCCCTGGACAGGTGTCCCCTGGGAAGCGGTGCCACTGCCATCTGCCCAGCAGGCCCTGCCTTGTGCTTGGCCCCACATGCTCCTTCCTGCCTTGCCTTCTACCCGACCAGGTTTAGGCCAGGCAGACACGGGACCTGGGTGGCATGAGATCTCTGTACCCAGGAGGCTCTTCCTTCTCCCACCCTCGGGTCTGGCTGTGTTACTCAGCTGCTGGGCCCTGGTCTTTGGGGAGAGCTGTGGTGTGCTGCTAGGGCTTGGGTAACAAAGCACCACAGACCACACAGCTTAAACGACAGACACTGTGTTTGCACAACCTGAAGATCAGGTGTGGGCAGGGTTGGTTCCTTGCGGCCTCCCTCCTTGTGCAGATGGCCGTTTTCTCCTCTTGTCTTTGCATCTCATCCCTCCACGTGTTATGAGGACACCAGTCACTGGGTTAGGACCACTCTCCTGACCTCAGTGTGACTGGGTTACCCTGTCAAGACCCTGCTCCAGGTAAGCTCCCGTCTGAGGTGCTGCTGCCGAGGCTTCCATGAGGAACATCGTTCAGCCAGGGATGGTCCCAGGAAGAATGGTGCTGACCCAGCCCCAGGCTCAGATTTGGGTGGGGTGGAGCTCAGCAGACCCTGGAACTGCAGCACCCAGAGGTTCCTGGAACTGTGCCTGGTGGTACCAGGGTCGGGGGTAGGGATAGAGGGTTCTAGATTCAAAACGGGTGTGACCCTGCCCCGAGGCCCTGAGGTAGCTGCCTGCAGCTTGCTGTCATGGGCAGTGACTGGGACCAGGTGGCCTGTGCCTGGGGCTGGGGTAGGGGCCCTGGGCCCCCAGGCTTTGCTCCTGCCAGGATGAGTTCATGTAGAAACTGGAAAAGGACGTGGACTGTGGAGGGCCAGGTAGCATGGAGGGCCAGGCACCGGCGACCTGCTGGCCCCGGCACCTTGGTTTCCCCACCACTTACGCGTGCCGGGCAGCAGGCACAGCAGGGCACTGCCGCTAGGACCCAGTTCACTTGCTTCCAGGCACTAAGCCCCTGGGAGAGGAGCCTCCTGAACTGGGGCTCGGTGCAGTGGGTGGGAGGTTCTGCCTTTCATCCCGTGTGATGGAGGCTATTAGAGGTCTTAGTGGGAATGGCATGGGAGCCACGTGCCAGTGGCGGTGGCTCAGGTGGGTGTAGCACAGCTCTCGGTGTGTGCTGCAGGGTGGCGGTGTGCACGCTGTTGACTGACTGAAGTAGGGTGCTGAGTTGAACTGAGAGGAGGGGAGTGGTGTGAGCAGAGCCCATCCTGGTCCCTATGGCTGGCCGGTCAGGGATTTTTCTCCAGCCACACGGTGCCCTGGCCCCCTGGGCTGGCTCTGCTAGGTGCAAGCTGGCTGGTGGGTCATAGGACAGCACCGCCTGCCGTTGCCTGGCAACGAGAGTCGGAGAGCCGGCACCTGGCAGCCTGGCCATGGTCTCAGAGGGTGCAGAGCAGTGGCTTGTCCTATGCAGCTTGGGTGGGCCTCAGGCCAAGGTCTGGATCATGAGGGGACATGAGGGGATCGCGGCCCTGGGGAAAGGACCAGACGCACCATGTCCCCAGAGCCATCCCACTGGTTTGGGCTGTGGTGCCCTGTGGGTGAGCTCCCTGGACAGCGTTGCGTGAGTCAGACGATGAGGGCTGGGCTTTGATTCTTAAGTCCCCCAGAGCCCTCAAGAGCAGACCTAGTGAGCCAGACAGTTGGTACATGGCCAGGGAGAGGCAAGGCACTGTGCTGGCTGCTGCAGGTGGCTGCCCTTGGCATGGGCATGCTCCTTCTTGCCCCCACTGGCCCCTCATCTGCTCTCCCCTCTTGTTTCCAGCTCAAGGCCACACTGCCCAGCCACCTGAGCCCCATGCCAGGCTGCCCCCGAGACCCTAAGTCTGCTCTTTCCCACCCACAGGCAGTGGCAGCCATGGGTCTGAGCTTCCTGCCCTGGCCTCTGCTTTCTGTCCTGTGCTTTCTGCTTGGCTGAGAATGTCACTGTGGTCCCATGCTCACAGGGCTGCCGCCTCTCCTGGGTGGAGCATGGCATGTGGACCAGCTGGGCTGGTGTCTCACAGACCTCCCACCCAGCTCAGGGCTGTGCTTCTCCGTGGCTGCGAGTGGGGGACTCTAGCAGCAGGTTGGAGCGCCAAGCCCTCACTCCCCTCCTGCCTTGCAGAGCTCAGGCCCTGGGGCCTCCAGCGGGCCCAGCGGAGACCACAGTGAGCTCGTCACCCGGATTGCCAGCCTGGAAGCGGAGAACCAGAGCCTGCAAGGCGGTGAGGCTCTGGGCCTGCTGGGGGAGGGTCCCAGGTCGCCCCTCACTATCTGACCAGCATCTCCTTCACTCCCGCAGTGGTGCGGGACTTGCAGCAGGCCATCTGCAAGCTGGAGGCTCGACTGAGTGTGCTGGAGAAGAGCTCACCCACCCACCGGGCCACAGCCCCCCAGACCCAGGTGAGCTTCCGGCCCTTCAGACCAGAGTCCCCACACCTGGTGCTGCAGAGGATTAGGAGGCTGGCCCAGGCAGCAGAAAGGGCTGGAGGCCTGGATCTCAGTGTCCTCCAGGCCTGCCAGACAGGGCCCTTTGGTCTCAGCCTCCCCTTCCCTTTGGCAGCATGTATCTCCCATGCGCCAAGTGGAGCCCCCCACCAAAAAGGCGGCCGCCGCTGCAGAGGATGACGAGGACGATGACATCGACCTGTTTGGCAGTGACGAGGAGGATGACAAGGAGGCTGTCAGGCTGCGGGAGGAGCGGCTACGACAGTACGCAGAGAAGAAAGCCAAGAAGCCAGCGCTGGTGGCCAAGTCCTCCATCCTCCTGGATGTCAAGCCTGTGAGTGGCCTGCCTCTGACCTCCCCCTGCCTTGGGTTCAGAAATCTTGGGCTAAGAAGAGAAATGCAGGGGCAGGGCAGGAGCAGAACCTGTTCCTACGCCTGCAAGGACTGCTCTGCTGTGCTGGGGCCTCCCCTGGGGTCTGCAGGCTCCTGACCAAGCCTCTCCTCCCCTTTCTCCCCCAGTGGGACGACGAGACGGATATGTCCCAGCTGGAGGCCTGTGTGCGCTCTATCCAGCTGGATGGGCTGACCTGGGGGGGCTCCAAGCTGGTGCCCGTGGGCTACGGCATCCGAAAGCTGCAGATCCAGTGTGTGGTGGAAGATGACAAGGTGGGGACTGACCTGCTGGAGGAGGAGATCATCAAGTTCGAGGAGCACGTGAGTGGGCAGGCCCACATGGGGGGCAGGTCCAGGGCACAGCACGGGGGGCCTTTGGGGAGTGGCCCCACATGACCACCTTCCTTCTCCTCTCTCCAGGTGCAGAGCATAGACATTGCTGCTTTCAACAAGATCTGAGCCCTAGCACTGGGCCTGGACAAGAGGCCTTGCCCCTATTAAAGACTGAGATTTCCTCTGTCTGGCTCCTGTCGTGGTCTGGGTGCTGTGGGCGGGCAGTGTTCAGTGAGCAGCACTCTGCCAGGCCCCAGGCCTCAGTAGTGTCTTGCTTGGGCCCCATCTGTCCTACACCAGTGGTCCCAGGAGCCACTGACATCCTACCCTTTCTTGGCCTCTGCACAGCCTGTGGCTGTGTGACCTCACCCTCTGCCTGCCTCTTGTCTTCACTCACCCATCAAGTGCCATGTCCAGTTCAAGCAGTTGAAGCCGAGAAGAAAGCACGCCCTTAGCTCCTCACTGTAGAGGCCCGGGAGGCGTCAGCCTTCCGCTCTCCACTCTGCGTCCTGTCGCTCCATTCCAGCTGGGCCGCCACTGTGGGAGCCAAGTGCCAGCCTGCAGCTGCCCAGGAAAGAGGTCCAAGAGGCCCACCTGGCCCTGCTGCTGTGACCAGTCACCTGCCCTGCCCCACCAGGTCTGACCTGTGTGAGACCCTGCCAGTGTCCTGTGGTCTTGGCTCTGAAGTCCTTCCCTGGCCTTCATTCAGTCCTCCAGAGGGCACTCACCCTCCGGGTAGAGACTCCTGGGAAGCAACAGCCTTTCCCAGCAACTGCCTGGCTGCTCCCCCTGCTGGAGACTGGGCCCTGGGCGGATTCCACGACAAACCATTCTGTGGAGTCATGCCTGCTGCCTGCCTGCCCTCCCGAACCCCATCAGTCAGTACTTGTGTCACTAAGGGCTCCTCCCTGGGTGGCCAGCATGGCAGATGCTCTTGGCATTGGGGAGAAAGGTGTGGGCTGCAGTGACTTCTGTCAGAGTTGGTTCCTCCCCGGCCTTGAGCCACGCATGGATGGACTGTCCTCCCCTTGGTGGTGGAGGCCCTGAGGTTGCCCTGTTTTACAGGACTCCTGTTGGACTCAGGGTGCAGGACCTGGCAGCTCTGGTGCCAGCTGGGGGTGGGCACTAGCCGGGCTTCTTCCTGAACAGTGTGGGCCACACCCAAGTGCCAGAGCTGACTTCAGAATCGCCTGGGTTGGCTTCTAGGAGGGGCTGGAGCTACCACTGCCCCCTAAACCCAATGCACAGAGTTGGGGGGGGGGGGCAGGAGAGGACCATGCTTTGAGGGGCTGAGGGAAGCGGGGATGACGGGCGACTTCGCACACATTCCCCACTTAAGCCTAGTCTGGCAGGTCTCGGGACCTCTGTATCCGGAGGCCAGCAGCCCTGCCTGCGCCCCACCCATTCTTGTTGCGGGAAAAGGTCGTGCTTCCAGGGTGTCTCCACCCTCCTGGCTCCGGTCGGGTTCGCAGGGCTCGAGGGCGGTTGGTGATGCGCTGGCCCGGGCACCAGCGGCTCCCTCCCGGGGAGGGCGGTGTCACGTGGACAGCGGGGGCGGGGAGACCGGAGTCCGGGATCGGATCGGGGCGAGATGGCGGCGAAGCAGGACCCCGAGGCACTTGCGGCGGCGCGGCCGCTGCTCACGGACCTCTACCAGGTCACCATGGCGCTGGGCTACTGGCGCGCGGGGCGGGCGCACGACCCCGCCGAGTTCGAGCTCTTCTTTCGCCAGTGCCCCTTCGGCGGCTCCTTCGCTCTCGCCGCCGGGCTGCGCGACTGCGTGCGCTTCCTGCGTGCCTTCCGCCTGCGAGACGCAGGTACCCCCTGGCCCGCCCGCCGCTCGCCGAGCCTCCGCCCTGGCGGGTCCCCTCCGCGGTGCTCTCGCCCCAGCCCACACGGGCCTTTGTCACCTCCCCCAGACGTGCAGTTCCTGGCCTCGGTGTTGCCCCCAGACACTGACCCCGCGTTCTTCCAGCACCTGCGGGCCCTGGACAGCTCCGGGGTGACGGTGCGGGCCCTGCCCGAGGGCTCCCTCGCCTTCCCCGGCGTGAGTGCGGGCTGAGCAGGGCGGGGGGTGGGGCTGGGCGAGGTCACGTGGCTGCCAGCTGACACCCCGCCCGCAGGTGCCGCTGCTGCAGGTGTCCGGGCCGCTCCTGCTGGTGCAGCTGCTGGAGACGCCCCTCCTCTGCCTGGTCAGCTACGCCAGGTGGGCGGGTAGCCACTCGCGGGAGCTCGGACTTCCGGGAGGCCAGCCCGGGGGGGGGGGCTGCGCACTCCGGTCTGATCTGAGGGCGGGCTCTGGTGGCCTCCAGACCCTAATGCACGTTCCCAGCTCACTTGCTCCCCACAGCCTGGTCGCTACCAACGCGGCGCGGCTTCGCCTGATCGCGGGGCCAGAGAAGCGGCTGCTGGATTTGGGGCTGCGGCGCGCTCAGGGCCCCGACGGGGGTCTCACGGCCTCCACCTACAGCTACCTGGGGGGTAAGGGCCGGGGAAGGGAGGCAAGGGTGAATGAAGGAGGAGGCCCAGCCTGTGAGCCCCCCTCTTCATGGCCTGAAGTCCCCCAGCCCAGCCCGATGCCCTGGCCTAGGTTTCGATGGCAGCAGCAACGTGTTGGCCGGACAGCTGAGGGGCGTGCCGGTGGTGGGGACTCTGGCGCATTCCTTCGTCACCTCCTTTTCAGGCACCGAGGTGCCCCCTGACCCGGTCAGTACCCCAAAGCCATCCCTTGCCTGGAGGAAGGGTGGTCCAGTCTCTGCTCTGCACAAAGGCAGAAGCCACACGTCTGGCCTGTCAAGCCACCCTGGGCAGGTGGCCGCAGTGCTGCACTGGGGAGGTGGCATTACCCCTGCTCAGACCCTCTCCTGGGGGTGAACCAGGCCCCACCCTACACTCGGGGTCCCCCCCCTTCACTGATCCCTCTCCCTAGATGTTGGCTCCGGCTGCTGGTCAGGGCCCCAGGGTGGACCTGACCACCTGTGTGGAGGCATGGCTGGAGCGTGTGTGTGCACACCTGGGGCTGGGGGTGCAGGATCCACACCCGGGAGAGCGGGCGGCTTTTGTGGCCTATGCCCTGGCCTTTCCCCGGGCCTTCCAGGGCCTGCTGGACACCTACAGTGTGAGGAGGTGAGGCCCAGGCAACCCCGGGGGGCTCAGGAGAGAAGCTGCAGCATCCTGACTGCTGGTCCCTGCCTGCAGAAGCGGTCTTCCCAACTTCCTCGCAGTAGCCCTGGCCCTGGGGGAGCTGGGCTACCAGGCTGTGGGAGTGAGGCTGGACAGTGGCGACCTGCTACAGCAAGCCCAGGAGATCAGAGGGCTCTTCCGGACCACTGCAGCCCAGTGAGGCCAGGAGGGGCTGTGTGTGCGGAGAGACCCTCCCTGGGGCGCAGATACTGGGATGGAACAAAGGGAGGGAGGGACCCTGCCCTTCCCGTAGTGGGGGGCTCTGGTCTGAGCCTACCTCAGCGGAGACATTGTGGTCCTGCAGGGGAAGCCAGAGTCCATGGGGCTGAGGGCAGATTCTCCCATGGGAGGGGGGCATGACCAAGGAGGGAGGGAGCCCTGGTGAATTAGTAACTTCTGAGGGGCTGCCCCCATCGCAGGTTCCAGATGCCCTGGCTAGAGTCGGTCCCTATTGCTGTCAGCAACAACATTGATGAAGAGGAGCTGGCCCGGCTGGCCCAGGAGGTGGGGTGGGGCAGGGCAAGCGGAGGGTGTCTCGGAGGCCCTGCGACTGCTGCCTGAGCCCAGTGCACCTCCTCTCCCATCCTCCAGGGCAGCGAGGTGAATGTCATCGGCATTGGCACCAGCATGGTCACCTGCCCCCGCCAGCCGTCCCTGGGCTGTGTCTACAAGGTGGAGACAGGGACGAGGCCTGGTGGGGACCGTGGGTTGGGGGAGAAGGGTCCAGCTCTCTCAACACCCTGTCCCTGCAGCTGGTGTCTGTGGGAGGCCAGCCACGAATGAAGCTGACCGAGGACCCCGACAAGCAGACGCTGCCTGGGAGCAAGGCCGCCTTCCGGCTCCTGGGCTCCGATGGTAAGACCCCCACCCTTCTGTGGTCCCCCTCACGGCCCCAGGCCCCCACGTCATTCTTGGTGTCCCCCCCACGCCCACACACAGGGTCTCTGCTGTTGGACGTGCTGCAGTTGGCGGAGGAGCCACCCCCCCAGGCTGGCCAGGAGCTGAGGATCTGGCCTCGAGGGGCCCGGGAGTCCTGTCTCGTGAGGCCAGCCCAGGTGGAGCCACTCCTTCACCTCTGGGTCCAGCAGGGGCAGGTGACCACTCCACCCACCCCATAGTCTGCACCTGCATCCCAAATCCAGCCCTGACCCTGAGCCAGCCCCTCCCTTCCCTCTTCCCCCAGCTGTGCAAGCCCCTCCCATCTCTGGCCGAATCCAGAGCCTTTGCCCAGCTGTCCTTGAGCCGTCTCAGCCCCGCACACAGGCGGCTGGAGCAACCTGCACTGTACCAGGTGGGTGGAGGACCCACATCTGTCCCGACGGCCACCGACTGTTTCCTCCTCTCCTTCCTGCAGGTGGCGCTGTGCCCTCTGCCCCCACGGCCACCCACTGTTTCCTCCTCTCCTTCCTGCAGGTGGCGCTGTCTGAGAAGTTGCAGGCTTTGGTGCACAGACTGAGAGCTGGAGCATCTCTGTGAGAGCCCCATGGTGGGCTGCCTGAAGTTAACATGAATCACTCACTGTCACAACTTGTCTTGTGTCTTTCTTCACCCAGCCTACCACTGTCCGATTCCTAGGGCTTCCCAGCTGGGTGCAGTTGGGAATCAGATGCGGGTTCATGGTCCCGGGAAGGCCCAGGCTCAGCCAGCGTAGGGAGGCAGCCCTGTGCTGAGGCCAGGAGCTAGGCCAAGGCCCCGAGTGTCTGAGCTCCTGGAGCTGGGCCCTGTGCTGAGGCCAGGAGCTAGGCCAAGGCCCCCAGTGTCTGAGCTCCTGGAGCTGGGCCTCCGGGCAGATCTGAGGCTGGACTGGGCAGGGCTTCGAGAAAAGGGAGGGTTTTAGTGCACACCCAGGAGTTGGGGTAGATACTGGGGAAGGCCCCACCACCCTGCTGGAAACTTGGGAGCAGGCCCTATGGGGTGGGGATGAGGTGCCAGACAGAGGGTCTGAGGGTTACCTGTGTCCAACTGTGGCCCCAGGCTCAGGGTCAGTGGAACACCTCAAGCTTCCTAAGCACATGACTCTGCCTGGGAAGCCCTGTGCCCCTGGGCGCCACCTGTTGGCTCTCTCCAGACTCTGGCATCTGTCACAGGCTCAGCCAAGCCCAGGCCTTGGAGACCCAGCTCCTGACCCAGCAACCCTGGGAAGGGAGAGGAGGAGGTCAGGGGCCTGCACTAGAGATGGTGAAGAGGCTGAGGGACCAGGTGGCGGCTCAGCTCTGGGCACCTGGCCAGTGGTTCTGGGCTGGCCCTGCCTCTGCAGACAAGCTTGTCAGGTCTCCACTGGCTTTGCAATGTGGACTCCCGGGAACTGCTCTGGGGGAGGTTGTGGTCTCTGCGGGACACAGAGGGAAGGCCTGGGCCTCTCCTGTCTGGAGCGGGAGGGCGTGGGGGAGCGCTGGCTGTCTGGGGTGCTTCCCCAGCACTTCCGCCTGCCCAGGTATTTGGCCCAACCAGCTCTTCCGGCTCCCTGGGGTCAGTGTGGGTAATGCCTGCTATGTCACTTGGTTAGGGTGACAGTGGTGATTGGGGACAGAGGCCTCGTCAGGCCAGTCCTGAGTAGCATGCGTCCTGGAGACACAGACACAAACAGCAGAACCGGGCCTCTGGGTCCCCACAGGTCCCCACTTCTCAGCTGTGTACTCACTTCCTAGCACCCAGGAACCCTGTGGTCCAGCAGTGGGGGGAGGGGCACCCCACACTGTCCAGGACCCTAAGGTCCACCCCAACCACAGTGGTAATCTGCGAGAGTGCCAGGGAGGCAGCCGGGCAGCTCCCTGCCCTGTCTGCTCTGCCCAGGGCTGTCCCCAGCTCAGGGTGCCAGCGCTCCCAGTCACCTGCAGCCAGGACGTCCAGCTGGGCAGGAACGCGGTGGCTCAGCCTTGATCTGACTCAGCTTGGGGCTGGGCCCAGACTTCTAGACCCTGCTGGGGCCTCCTTAGGGCGGTCACCTGCCCAGAGGGGTTTGAGGTCAGACTCAAGGGCCCTTCTTCCCCTCCCCTTGCAGATGGGTCATCTCCTGGGAATCTTGTCCCTCCCCCAGGGCCCTGGGGGCAGAGCCAGACCCCAGATGCTCAGGCTTCAGGCTGGCTGTTCACCAGCAGCCTAGGCAAGAAGGTCCTTCACAAGCCTTCAGAGGGCACCATGCCTGGGGACACTGTGTGGCTCCCCAACCCCCACATACATAGAGCAAATGCTCACACACCACCACGCCCCATCCCTGGCTCCACCCGCCACCAACCCAGAGCTGGCTTCTAGGTCAGGCCCAGGCATGACTTCCTGGGAGGACCCTTGGCAGGTGCCGCAGGCTTGGCTCTGCTGAGGGTTGTGTGTGGCAGCCATGGCTGGGGGTGTGTGGGGCTGGGGCCGGGGCCGGGCCCGGGGAGGCCCTGTGGGGGCCCTAACCCTGACAGCTCTGGCTGAAGGGATCCGGGCCAACCAGGGGCAGCCCATGAGAACCCCCTCCAAGGGCCCTCAGCCCAAACCTGAGCTGGAACCTGGTCCTCAGCCCAAACCTGGTCCTCAGCCCGAACCTGAGCTTGAACCTGAAGCAGAGCCTGGAAATGTAGTCGAAGCCATCCCTACGGCTGTCCAGGAACCCTGCTCCCCACCCTGTGCACAGGAGCCAGCCCCCGAGGAACCCCAGAAGGTGAGTGGAAGGGAAGGGAGGCTGAAGGGATGGCCTGGGGGACAGGGGAACTGAAAAGGGAGGAAGTTGGGGGCAGGCATAGGAGCTGATCTGTCTGGGGAACAAGAAGTTAAGGAACTTATTTGGATGAGGTAGGGGTGGGGAGGGGCAGGGGGACTTCATACACCCCACCCACCTTGCCCTAGGTCCCCCAGAGTTCCTGGGAGGAGGGGGCCCTCTCAGACCTGGCATTGTACACGGCTGCCTGCCTGGAAGAGGCTGGCCTTTCAGGGACGCAGGCCACAGCGCTCACCTTGTCCTCAGCCCTGGAAGCCCGAGGGGAGCGGCTGGAGGACCAGGTCAGCAGTCAGCCCCCCCCCTTCCTATCCCTGGAGACTCCTGCCCAGTCCCTCCAAGGTTGGGGGTTGGAGTGGGCAGCTTGACACGCATGCCCCTTTCAGGCTGCACAGCCCAGAGGGGATACAGAATAATGTCTGGGGGGCCCAGGAGGCCTGGTCACTGACATCTGCCTCTCCACACCAGGTGCATGCCCTGGTGCTCGGGCTGCTGGCACAGGTGCCCAGCCTGGCAGAGGGCAGGCCCCGGTGGGCAGCCTTGCGGGTGCTGAGCTCCCTGGCCCTGGAGCACTCTCGGGACGTGGTGTGCGCACTGCTGCCCTGCTCGCTGCCCCCAGACCGGTAACCTGCCTGCCCCACCCAGCCAGGACCCATCCCCAACATCCCCATGAGGCTTCCTTCCCTCTTCCCGCTTGCCAGTGGAGTCTGGTCCCCAGTGGGCAGGTCATGGAGGGGGCAGAACCTCCTAACTGCCTTCCCCACCCCCACTTCTGCCTTCCTCTATTCCCCCGCCCCTCCTACCTCAGGGACCTTGGTACTGGGTTCCTGGCTTGGGGCCTGAACTCTCTGTCCAGGTCACTCCTGGAGCCCAGACTGGGGGTGTGCTGCAAGGCGGGGTTAAGAGGTAGGTAGCTTCTATGCCACTCACTGCCCCTGGCTCTTTGGTTTAATCTGCCCCAGAAGTGATCTGGTTACATTTTCTATGTGATTGTTGTTGTTTTCTTAATCCTCACCCTAGAATATGTTTATTGATTTGAGGGACAGAGAGAAACATTGATATGAGAGAGAACCATTGATTGGTTGCCTTCTGGGGGTAGAACCCACAACTTAGATATGTGTTGTCACCAGGAATTGAACCTACAAACTTTTTGGTGTACAGCCAGGGCTCCGTGATTGTTTCTAGTGCCGGCTTTGTTTCCCTGTCGCTGGCTGCCAGGGTTCTGAGCGTCCACACCTGCTGGTCCTGCTGCCCCTGCTCTGTGTGGTCTGCAGATGCCACATATTTTGTTTCTCTGGGATGGGGGCACATGCAGGGAGAGGGCGTGGCTTATCAGCCCCTCCCCCTGCTGGAGTCTTAGTGGTCACCTCCACCTGACCTGGGGTCTCCCGGTCTCACAAACCCCGAACCCCCAGGGCGGCAGCTGAGCTGTGGCGCAGCCTGAGCAGGAACCAGCGTGTGAACGGGCAGGTGCTGGTGCAGTTGCTGTGGGCACTGAAGGGCACAGCCGGACCGGAGCAGGAGTCATTGGCAGTAGGTGACTCCAGCCAGCACTGCCAGGGGATTCCCTCTGACCCCCCCTTAAGGGGTGGGGCAAGTCAGGCCACAGGGGGATCTGGGCAGGAGGGTCTGGCCTGAGTCACATGAATCCATAATGTCCCTGAAACGTCTGAGGTTCTGTCCCCTCCTCCTCCCTGAGTGGGCTGCTCGCTCCGCAGGCTACTCGCGCCCTTGGGGAGATGCTGTCTGTGTCGGGCTGCGTGGGCGCCACGCGAGGCTTCTACTCACACCTCCTCCTGGCACTGGTCACACAGCTGCATGAGCTGGCCCAGGGCCCATCCTCCCCCAACCCCCACAAGGTTTGGGCCCCTTCCCACCGGGGACCGCCCCACAGCCATGCCAGGTGAGAGGTGAACACTGGGGGAAATGAGGGCTGGACCCGCGCCCTCTCTGTCCCTTCGGCCCTCACTGCCCTCTCTCTTGCTGCCCTACCTCCAGCTGTGCGGTGGAAGCCTTGAAGGCCCTGCTCACCGGAGATGGCAGCCGCATGGTGGTCACGTGCATGGAGCAGGCTGGAGGCTGGAGGAGGCTGGTGGGAGCCCACACTCACCTGGAAGGTGTCCTTCTGCTGGCCAGGTGTGGCGCAGGGGCGTGAGGGAAGGAGCAGGAGCATGAGGGTGGTCGGGTGGGGGCTTCTCCAGGGGTGAGGCCATGAGCAGAGGGAGAGTTCCCATTTCATCCATCCCAGCGCCATGGTGGCCCACGCGGACCACCACCTGCGGGGCCTGTTCGCTGACTTGCTGCCCCGGCTGCGCAGCGTGGAGGACACTCAGCGCCTTACAGCTATGGCCTTCTTCACTGGGGTGAGCCCATGTTCCAGGTGGGTGGAGAGGGGTGACCATGGACTTGGCCCCTAAGCATCGCCACCTGCACTGGGACCTCGAGCTGACTCCAGGTCCCTACCCACACCCCACCCCCGCCCAGCTCTTGCAGAGCTGGCCCACCACGCGGCTCCTGCGGGAGGAGGTCATCCTGGAGCGTCTCCGGGCCTGGCAGAGGGACCCCGAGCCCACGGTGCGCTGGCTGGGCCTGCTCGGCCTCGGCCACCTGGCGCTGAACCGCGGGAAGGTGAGAAACAGGGTCGGGCTGGCCTGGGCAGGGTCTGCGCGCGGGGCCGCCCACGATTCCCGACTCCGCAGGTGCGGCTTGTGCGTGTGCTGCTACCCGCGCTCCTAGGCGCGCTGGGCGAGGGCGACGCGCGACTCGTGGACGCGGCCCTGGGCTCGCTGCGGAGGGTCCTGCTGCAGCCGCGGGCACCCGTGCGGCGCCTGAGCACTGAGTTGGGGTCGCGCCTCCCGCAGCTGCTGGATCACGTGAGCACCACTCCCCCTCTGCTTTCCCCCCCAAATCCAGCCCTCCAGGCCCCGCCCCTCCAGGACACACCGCCTCTCCCCAGGCTCCCCGCCCCAACAAGGTATAGTCCTTCTGGCTCCAGGAGGAGCCACGCCCCCACGCCCTCACGCCCCCAGAGCTTGTCTCCTGAGACCCTCTCCCTCCTGGCTGCGCCCTGACAGCACCCTCCCATGCAGGCCAGAGACTCCGTCCGAGCCTCCGCAGTCGGGCTCCTGGGGACGCTGGTATGGCGGGGCCGGGGAGGGCTCCGGTTGGGGCTACGAGGCCCCCTGCGGAAGCTGGTGCTGAAGAGTCTGGTGCCACTGCTGCTGCGCCTGCATGACCCCAGCCTGGATGCCGCTGAGGTCAGCCGCCCCCAAGACTGTCCAACCACTGCTGTCCCCTTCCAACCCCATTCATACTCACCACTACCTCTCCGAAGATAGCACGTCAGGGACTTTTCCAAGGACCTCAGGTGCTAGCCTCCTGGGCTCCCAGTTTCCTGGGCCTCCTGTCCTGGACTTCTCCAGACCTCATGCTGGCCACACCCAAGTCACCTCTGCTACTTTTTGGACCCCTAACCCCACCTCCCTTCCCCTGTCCCAGAGCTCAGAGTGGACCCTGGCCCGCTGTGACCAAGCCCTGCGCCTGGGCCTGCTGGAGGAGATGGTCACTGTGGCCCACTACGACAGCCCTGAGGCCCTAAGTCACATCTGCCACCGCCTGGTCAGTAGGGGGTGGACAGTGCCAGTGATGGGGTATGGTCAGCTCCCCTTTACTCCAGTATACACTCTCCCCAAAACTGAGGCTCCCACCCTCCCAGCCAAGGTGGTGTCAGGTCTAAGACCTCAGGCCTGACCCCTTGCCCTGGGCACTCCCCAGGGGACACCAACCCCTGGGGTCACCTCTGCCACCTCTCTCCATGCAGAGTTGGTTCTCCTGCCATGAGCCCTTATGTCCCCAGGTTCAGTGGTACCCGAGCCATGTGCCCAGCTTCCTGAGCCAGACCCAGGGCTATCTGAGAAGCCCGCAGGACCCCCTGCGCCGAGCAGCTGCAGTGCTCATAGGTGAGGCCACCTGGGTGTCAAACTTCTCTTGCGTCCAGAGTTCTGGGAGCTGGGCTGGCCTCTGCCTGCTGGGGGCGTGGGGCCAATACTCACCGGTTTATTTTGATCCAGGCTTCCTCGTCCATCATGCCAGCCCCAGCTGCTTCAACCAGGAACTGCTGGACTCCCTGTTCCAGGGTGAGGCCCAACTCGCCAGGGTGTGCAGTCCTGGAGGGGTGGTGGGTGCTTGGGCAGAGTGGGTAGGATGCATGCGCCAGGAGTCCTGGAGCATTTGGAGTTTCTGAGAGCTTCCCGCCCTGTCTGAGCCACCCTGTCCCCACAGACCTGGGGCAGCTGCAGAGCGATCCCGAGCCGGCTGTGGTCGCCGCTGCGCAAGTATCCTCCCAGCAGGTGGCGCTGCTGGCCCGCGTGCAGGGCTGTCGGCAGGGCCTGCGCTTTCTCCGCCGCCACCTGCCCCACACCGGCCCTGTCCGGCCTCTGCCAGTCTACCCAGACAACCCCTTCCAGCGCAGGAGCCTCGCAGGCCGGTGGGGCTGCTCCAGACCCAGCTGAGCCCGACACCGCCCTCTGCAGGAGCTCACCGCCGTGATGGCCACGTTCCTTAGAGGGATGTCTGAGCACCACTCACCCTCAGCCTTTGCCTCTTGCGCCTGTGAGCCCACCTGTGCCTCCGAGGACCCAGCTGTTCCTATGAGGGTCCTGGAGTTGCCTGGCCCCTGGCCTGGACGACACCTGGCCCCCCAAGCTGGGGTCTGGTGTAGGACACTGTGAAGCTGGCATAGCCCCGGGAGCGGCCTGCTTCCTGGACCCCCGCCCCACTTGCTTCCCCTCCCTGCCTGTGGGGCCCTGCTGGCCACCCAGCAGCTGGCCTGAGGTTCTGAGCTTCCTGGCCCGTCCTCCTGTCCACACCCGCTGTCCCTCAGCCTGGCACGGTTTCCCACACACTTCCTTGCTCCTGCTCGTCCTATCAGAACCCACATGAGCCTTCTCCAGAAGGTGGCGCCGACCTCTCCACTGGACACCACAGGCCTGGGACTATGTCTGTGGGTTCAAGTGTGGGGTGCTGGCATCTGCACCCCCACCAGACTGAGCCCACTGGCACCCCAGCACCGTGCATGGTGTTGAATGAGGAAGGCATGATTGGATGTACAGGGGAGAAGCCCCTCTGGAGGCCTCCTAAGCTGTGACCCAGCCCCTCCTGGCCCAGGACTGGCAGGTTCCTCCGTCCAGAATGCGCCCCCTTGAAATGTCCTCCTGCCCTTTAAGCCCCTCCCCCACGCTGCTGCCTCAGAGAGGCCTCGACTCAACTCCCTCCCTAACCTGTGCAGGCAAGTCCCCACCCCTGCCCCTACCCAGCTCTAGAGCACCTCAAAAACTCAACAACCTGCCCTGGCTGGTTTGGCTCAGCAGTTAGAGCGTCGGCCCGCGGTCCAGAGAGACCCGGGTTCGGTTCCCGCTAAGGGCACGTACTTCGATTGCAGTTTGTCCCCGGCCCTGGTTGGGTCGTGTGTGGGGCGGCCACTTGATGTGTCCCTTTCACATCGGGGATGTTTCGCTCGCTCTCTCTTCTACTCTCCCTCCCACTCTATCTGAACAAGTAGGGGCAAAAAAAAGGAAAAATGTCCTCAGGTGAAGATACAAAAAACAAAAACAAAAAACTCCACTCAACTTTCCTTTGAATACCACATTTATTGACTTTCCCCAACTCCGAAGCCCGTGGTGAACTGGCCACTGGGTGGATTGGGCTCTCATCTTCCTAGGGCTGGCTGGCAGCTGGGCAGGCCAGGAGCAATCCCTGCCTGAAGAGCTGCCTAGGCGTGCGGGCTGGCGGGCTGGCAGAGCTGGCTCAGCTTTAACAGCAGGGCCAGGCAGGCGTAGAGCGCACATGTGCGGCCCTGGGCCTTCGGCTGCCAGCACACCTGGCGGGTGTCCACCTGCAGCTCTAGGCCGCATGCCTCCAGCAGGATCCAGGTGGGCACTTCTGGACCCCAGCTGCTCCCCAGGAGTCCAGGTGGCAGGGACAGGGCTCTGCACTCCTGCCATGGGGTGCTCTGCTCCAAAAGGCTCTCCACCTGCCAGGACAGGGTGGGAGGTTGTCATCGGGGGCCCCCAGGCATCCAGGCCCACCTGGACCTCCCCGTCGCAGATGCACCCAGGCCCCACCCTGCAGCCCCAGCCCCTTCCCCAGCATCTGGGCCCTCTCACCAGCTTGAAGGGCTCTGACAGGGCCAAGGCCTTCAGTGCCTTGGCCAGCAGCACGTGCTGGGTTTCACTCAGTGCTAGGAAGAGACCTGGGATGAGAGGGTTCCAAAAGGCCCAGCTGGGAAGCCCACATCCCTGCCCCCACTTGCCCCACCTGGGGTGCCTCACCACTCAGTGCTCCCAGAAGGTAGATGATGGGGCCTGTGAGTTCCTCTGCTAGGGTTCTGCAGGGGAGCACCAGGCACTCTAGGACATCACCAGCTGCACCAGGTAGAGGCTCTGCCCGCCCACAACACCGGCCCTGCTCCAGCTGGGGGCACAGGTGGGCAGATGAGCCTGGATGGCCAGTGCAGACCCTGCCAGCCCCCAGGACCCCTACCCTGAGGCTTGCTCACCGACTCCTCCAGGGTTTGCAGGGCCTGCTCGTCCCAGAGCACCTGCTCCAGGCCCCTCAGCAGCTGCTCACACAGTGGCTTGGACAAGTTCTCCAGGACCCTGGCCCAGGCCTTCACCTCTGCCTGCAGGCCCTGGAAGTCTTCTGTGTATTCCAGCTTGTCTTCCTCGAGCCCATCTGTGGGGACAGGACTGGCGTTGCCTGGGTGTCCACAGGACCCTGGCGAGCCCTGGTCAGGAAGGGGAGACCCCCAGGGAGAAGAAGGGGAGCCCACCAGGTGTCCCAGGGGTGGCCAGGAAGGTACTGACCTGACAGTAACTTGAGGCATTCCACTATGGAATTTATCATGGAGTCGCTGGGAGACTTCTGATGTGGCTGGTCGCCTACATCGCTGGGGGGCTTGTGGCCTGGCCGGGCAGAGCTCGTCAGCACAGGGCATGGGTCCCCGAGCCAGAGAGGGCTGAGCCCGCCCTGGGCCCTCTCTGCCCCTCACCACTACCCCCAACACTGGCAGCTCAGGGCAGGGGGCAAAGCCTCGCCAGACTGGTGTCACCCTTGTGTGTGTGTGTGTGCGGGCGCGCGCACGCACCTGCCCACCCTGGATGTGCCCTGGACACGCCCAGCCCTCAGGAGTCCCCTGGCTGCACCGTGCTATGCAGGAGATGGCCTCAGTGGCCAGGAGCTTGTCCCGTTGCCCAGGCAGGGCTGTGGGGGTCCATGGGCCTCACCTGTCTGGGGCGGCTCAAAGGTCCTCTGCTTCTTGTTTGGGATGAAGAGGACATCTGGTGGCCAGGTGGGAGCACAGATTGGGGAGGCAAGTGGGCCGAGGCTCCCGGCATTCCCCTCACCCACTGGAGCTCCCCTCACAGTTCCCCAAGTGTGCCCCAACCTCTCACATGCCAGGACACAGGACCCTCGGCCACCTGACCCAGGAAGTGTGCAGCCAGATGCCTGCAGCACCCCAACCGGCTGGTGGCTCTTCCCAGGCCTCCCTGGATCTTTGCCATGGAGTCCGGGCCCCAGAAGTTACCCCAATCCCAGCTCACCCCAGTCAGAGTTAATAACCAGCTGGGCCACCTGGAACGCGAGGATGCTCCCCGAGGGGATGGTGACCGTCTTCTTTTGGCTTAGGTGGCCCTGACCCTTGCCCTGAAGGGTAGATCTGGGCTCAGAACTGGGCTCTGGGCTCTGGGGCTGGGAATGGGCTGGTGGCGGGATCTGTCTGGCAACACGGCCCTCTGCCCCACCGCCCCAGTCCGTGGTGTGGCCCACACCCCTACCTGCAAGCACATAGCTCCGGGCAGCACAAACTGGCCCGAGCCCTGCTGCTTGTGGGTCCGGGTGACTTCCACCTCCTTCTGTGTCTGCAGCACCTCAGTCACCACGAACACATCATCCCCACGACTCCGCAGCTGCTGCAAGATCTTGGGTTGGGGCTGCCGAAGGCGCCTGTGGCAAATGGGGTGGGCACGAGGCTCAGGGTGTGCACCCACTCTCCCGCCCCCAGGAAATGGCTTTCCTTTCCTAAACTCAGCCTTGGTGCTCATCAGCAGGAATGACAGGGCTTGCTGTGGCTGAGGGACGGGGAGCTCCATGGATGCCCTGACGAATGGACACCTGCTGGCCCTGGAGATGCCCACCTGCTCCTCCAGCTGCTCTTTCCCTCCACTCCCTGGTTCAAGTTCCAGTCCCCAATTCAAAGTAACACTCCTCCACACGGGTGTCCCCATGCCTCCAGCCTCCTCTCAGTGGCCTGAGGCTCAGACTGACCCAGACACCCTGGGCCCTGCCTGGCCTCCCTGGCTCTCAGGATGCTGCCCCCATGACCTCTGCAGCCTCCTTCCCGCTGCTGGCTGCAGCCTGCCCCTGACCTGGGACTCTGCTCCCGCTGCGCTGACCCTCCACCTCGCACAGACACCCTGGGCCCAAGGCTCCTCAAGGTCAGGAGGGCCTGCCCTGCGGGCTCACCTCTCTTGGAGCAGGGCTGTCCAGGTGTTGGGGTCCACTCGCAGCGTGCACACATTCATGGAGGCGCTGGAGCTGCCAGACACCGAAGCCCCGCCTGAGACCCTGCCCTGTCCTGGGCCCACCAGCTCCACGCTGCCCTCCAGCTGCCCGTCCACGGCGTCTTGGAAGTGGAAGGGACCGACACACTCGACAGCTGGAACAAGACCAGAGCTGAGGCCCTCCTGCCTGCTGTGCCTGTCCCACCCTGGCACAAGACCTCTGAAAAGGCACTGCCCTCTGGTGGCGGTCCTTCCTAAATCAGGTGGGGTACCTGGCTCCGGGGCGTCGGGCTCCAGGATGTCTCTGATGGACAGGTTGACACGTGTGTACCGGGGTCTCCAGAACCATGAGCTCGACCGCCTTCTGCTCAGAAGACAATAGGGCTGGAAGCTGGTGGAACTCCGCAGGCTGTCCACGGGGATGAGCTCTCCGCTGTGGTCCAGTTCCCGGACCACGCTCTTGACCACCCGCTCAAAGGCTGATGCCATGCTCCTGAGGAGGGCAGAGGGTCAGGCATGGCACCCTCAGGGATGCAAGAGAACGAGTGGGGATGGGGGAATGGTCGACACTTGGATGCCTCCAGTGACAGGGAGCTGTTTCCTTGCAAAGCAACCTGCATGGTCAGTCTTGGGATTCTCTGACTGGCAGAAAGGTTTTGCCCCTGGCCACGACCCAACGTAGAAATAAACAGAATGTCCTCCCCGTCATCCACGAGGCCATCTCTCCGGGAGCCACGAGCACCTCCAGGGTGGGACGTCATTCAAAACCCTCAATGGGGCCCTGACCAGTTTGGCTCAGCGGTTAGAGCGTTGGCCTGCGGTCCAGAGAGACCCGGGTTCGGTTCCCGCTAAGGGCACGTACCTCGGTTTCAGTTTGTCCCCGGCCCTGGTTGGTCGTGCGGGTGGCAGCCACTCGATGTGTCCCTTTCACATCGATGTTTCTCTCTCTCTCTCTGTTCCTCTCTCTCCCTCCCACTCTACCTGAACAAAAAATGGAAAAATGTCCTCGGGTGAGGATTAAAAACAAAACAAAAACAAAAAAACCTCAATGGGGCTCAGGCCATTCGCAACATCTGTTCTGGAAGCTAAGCCGACCGTCAGTGATGGGGGCAGGGCAGCTTTGGGCCACCCGAGGCCTCCATCACTTTGACAGTCCAACGTGGCTGAGGGCCACCACCGAGGGAGGGCAGGGGCCACAGGGTGACCCCCAGGCCCATGCTGTGTCTGCTGTGGCAGCTGCCTCCCTAGCTGAGGATTTCACAGGGTGGAAACAGAAGCAGCACGTCAGGGGTGCTGGCACAGAGGCCAGATGTGGGGTTTCTCTGTGTCCTGATCTTCATGAACACTTGTCCAAGCTGAGGCTTCAGGGTCAGAGACCGAAGTTGACCTGATCCAGGATTCGGGAGGCCTGGGCTCCAGGCAGAGGAGCTGCCAGCCAGGGCCCCTCTAGTAGGAGGGCCCTGAGCTCAGGGCTGCCCTGAAACCATCGAGTGGGCCAAGGAGGGCCTGCAGGGCCCACTCCTCAGTTAGCCCAAACCCAGTCTGGCGGGTGAGGGGCCACGTTCCCAGGGGCCCTGGGCTTCCTCAGGCGTGTCTGGGGTTGTGGGGAGTTCTGAGAGGGTGCTGGGAGGAGGCTGTTGCCCGGAGGGCCAGCACCTCCCACACAGCTCGGGAGAGGGGACAGGGCCACCCGGGTGCCAGGGGGTGGCGGGGGCGCGGCTCACCGTGACCGTGGCGCCCAGGCTCCGGGCGCAGGAATTGAGGCGAGGCCGCCCTGGGCTGGGGTTGCACCGTCGGTGCCCTGGAGCCGCCAGACCAGCGCCCCGCTGGCAGGCTCGCGGACCCAAAAGTGAAACCTGCGGCTGTGGGGAGGGACCGCCCAGCGACCGGAAATGTCCTGCCGGCCCCCGCCCCGGCGGAGCCTTTTCCGCGGGCCTTTCCAAATCTCCGCGGCCCGGAGGGGCGGAGCTGGCGTTCCTCCAGAGAAGATGTCAGAGGGCCGGCGAGCCCTTGGGAAGGTGCGAGTCCAGCCACACGCGCCGGTGGCTGGGCAAGTGCTGGGGAGGGAGCGGCCCCCAGCCCGTCCAGTCCCGGGTGTGCCCCGAGAGGTGGAAACCTGGCCACAAAGCCTGCACACAGGCCTCGGCACAGCGTTGCCCAGAGCAGCAGGGACGCAGAAACACCCCGCCCATCGGCGGGGGCAGGGACAGAGCGAGCGGGGCAAACCTAGGCGGGGAGGACAGGGTGGAATGGCAGCCGGGAAAAGGAGTGCGGGTTTGATATCAAGGCAACACCGATGAACCTCAGAACACCATCCGACGTGAAAGAAGCCAACTCTGAAGACAGGAGTCACCTGACGTGGCTGGGGGTGTTCACAGCAGGAGAGTCCATAGAGACAGGTGGTTGCCGGGGACTGGGGGAGGGGAGAGGGGTGTGACAGCTAATAGGGGCATGGTTTCTTTTGGGGTGATGAAAATGTTCTGGTTGTGGTGAGGGTTGCACAACTCTGAATATGCTAAAACTCATGGAGTTACATAATTTAAACGCGTGAGTTGTATGGCACTTGAGTTGTATCTTTTTTTCTTAAATTATTTTTTCTTTATTGATTTTAGAGAGAGGAAGTGAAAGGGAGAGAGATAGAAACATTGATGAAAGAGAACACCAATTGGCAGCCTCCTGCATGTCCCCCACTGGGGATCCACCAGGGCATGTGTCCTGACCGGGAATCGAACTGGTGACCTCTTGGTGCCTGGGCTGTCACTGTGAACCGGAAGGTGACTTCTTGTGCTGACATGTTGCAGCTGTAGTAACTGGAGAGGCCCATTCAAACAGAAAGGAGACATTGTCTTGTGCAAGCAGAAGTCCCCAATTGCTGGGTACCCTGGGCAGGACGGAGGAAGGTGAAGCCCTGAGCAGGGGCTGGCCTGCTCCAGTGCCTGCCTGTGGTCTCTTCTCATGCTGAGGCCTAGGGTGGGGTGGTGGGCACCCATCCAGCTTGGTGAGGGGCTCCCAGCACTGATCCAGCCCCTGTAAGAGGACACCCTTGCTGGTGGTGGCAGGAGGCTCTGAGAACCTCAGTAGGACTGAGTGTGTGTGTGTCCACGTGTGCATGGTGTATGCCTGCACACGTATGTGTATTCATATGTTGTGTGTGGTATGTTTGTGCATGCAGGTGCGGGCGTTTGTGCGTGCGTGTTTGTATGTGGTGTGTGTGCTTGTATGTGTTGGGGGCCATCAATGCTGCATGCTGGTCATGCCAGAGTCAGAGCATCCTCCTGCTCCAGCTAGGCCTGCTTCTCCCCGTCCCCAGTCAGAGCTCTGTGTGGCCTCCAGTCCTGCTGCTCCTTATCACTACTTCTCCATCGGGCAGGCTCCAGGCCAAGGTCAGGAGGTGGCAGACTCCTCAGTGGGGTGACCTTGCTGTGGGTTTCCAGCGGGGGTGTGACCAGCCTGGTTTATTTTTCTGGAAGGCCTTGGCCGCTGCGTGGGAGAATTGGGTGGAAGTGGTGGCATTGCCCTGGGGCTTGGTCTGAGGCAGAGGTACCAGGCAGGTGCCACCCACATGGCAGCCAGGGACAGCATGGCACACTGCACCCACCTGCCTTGAGGCAGTGACTGAGGGCTGCCACAGCCTGGGCTGGGTGGGGCACCATGCGGCCTGGTTCTATTTCTTGTCATATCCTCAGCTCTTTAGCAATAACCCAAACAAGAAGTACTGTGTTGGCGAGTGGTGGTGTTGCCTCAGCTCCTGACTCACAGAGAACAGAGGTCAGCCTGAGAGGGCAGGAAGTGTGCCTGCTGGGGACAAAAGTGGGTGCGGCTGGCCCTGCACCCAATCTCCATCCCTCCTTGCACTCATGGAGGGGATACAGCCAGGAACTCTGGGGACACATGACCTCTTCCTCTTGGCTACCCCATGTTATATGGAGTGGGTGAGGTCGCCCTGGGCAAGGTCTGCCCAGGCCCTGGGTGGAGGTACAGAGCAGAGGAGGACACCATGTCCCCAATGTCAAGCTTTGACTAGGGACTAGAAGGCTGGGAGGGAGCTCCTGCCTGTGTGAGGGGAGGGGTCAGCTGCCCTGAGTAGGCTCTAAGGAAGAGGAAGCCACTGCTTTGGGCCCCTGTCTCCATCCACACGTGTAAGGGGCTGGCTGCCTGCCAGGCACACTGGGAATGGGGCAGAGGCAGGCAGTGTCCCTGGGAGGGAGAGCGCTGGTCATTAAGATCCCGGAGATAACCGGGAGAGGGCACTGGAGGGAGCAACGCTGTGCAGGAGATGGGGAAGTGGGCTTAGGGAGAGGAGTCAAGCCGCTGAGCTGAGCCCGGAAGGGACAGCAGAGGCCAGGATGACGTGAAGCCTGGTGGGGGGAGGGGCAGCCAGCTCCAGGAACCCACCTACGCTTCATAGGAGCCCTAGGCAGACCCACCCTAAATCCGGACTCGGAGCAGGTGCGTGGGTGGAGCTGCGGGCTCCACAGAGTCTCGAATGGGAGCAGCCTGGAGCCTCCTCACCCTGGGCTGGCCTCCACCCATGGCAGCCCTCCTCCTCCTTAACCCTTTCAGTGCTCCGCCTTCACCCTTTCCTGCCCCGCCCCTCCCAGCTGGGCCACCAGAAACCCCTGTTGATAAACAGTTCCGCATAGTGAGCCCCGACACAGGAGCAGTCGCGATTAAAGGGGTACCAGCCCTTGCCCGCTGCTGTGGATCAGTGGATTGAGCCTCCAACCAAGCACTGAGAGGTCCCTGTTCCATTCATGGTCAGGGCTGTGGGCTCCATCCCCAGTAGGAGGCAGCGGATGGATGTTTCTCTCTTAAAAAAAAGTCAATAAAAACATATTAAAAAAAAAAAAATGGAGTACCAGCCTGGCTGGGCTGCAGGACCTGAGTGTGGACAAAACCCCAACAGTCCTTTACTTTGGGGGGGGTGTTTGAGTCCCCGTGGGGCCTCCCTCCTGCTCACCGTCCTAGACCTTAGGGCGCAGCCAGGACTGGCACCCAGGTGGTCTTTGAGCTTCGGCTCCCACAGGTGGTCTGCAGCTCCTGCCCATGGGGTGCTCAATCAACGTTCGGGGATCGCTGGGCTATGGGGGCAGCCAAAGCAAGCGCCTGGCCTGGGTAGCCCCGGAGTAAGGGGGTCTTGGGTTCAGAGGCTTCCCGGGAGTCAGGAGGAGAATGGACATGTGGAAAGCAGTTCAGTCACCCCCCGGCTCACAGGAGGGGGCCGGGACGTGGTTGGAAATTCCCATCGCCCAGGCGCCCCTCTCCGGCACACCCCTGTCCGTTCTGCTTCCTTTTGGGGTCCCCTGCCCTGAGGCCTGCCGCATCCTGCCTGGCTCCCTGTGCTCTCTGCCGGCTGGGGTCGGGCGGCGCGGAATCAAGCCCCCCCCTGGGCCTCTGCAGGGGAAGCAGAGCCTTAGTCCTGCGAAGGTGTTGTGAGCCTCACCCTGTGCTCCCGCTGGAAGGGGCCCCGCTGCCCAAGATCTGTCCGGTAGCAGGGCATGTGGAAGACTGAGTGGTGCATTCACACCACCCACCCGCCGTGTTCCGAGAGCCTCGTGGAAATGCCGTGAAGGGAACAGCAGGTTAACGATATTTTCTTCCAGGACGAAGGAAAGGTCTGAGGGTGGCAGTGAGGGTCGATGCGAGATGTGGTGCTGGGGTGGAGGACGTGCGGGGGCTTCGAGGGCAGTTCTCCCCCAGCCATTTCCTGCTCCCCTCCGTGTGCGACAAATGCAAGGGGGGCATCTTGAGGAGGGTCCCAGCCTGCCAACCACCTGTTCCCACCCGAGAGCCTGGGGGCAGGAACTCCCAAGGGGGCGCAGGGGGCGGGGCGGAGATGGGGGCGGGCGGGGGCTGGGGAAGGAACTGCGCAGCGGCTGGGGCCGGGGCGGGGCCTCGGTCTCTCGCCCAGCCCCGCAGGGCACGAGAGCCGGTGGCGGAGAAGCCGGCCGCGGCCCCTCCCGCCGCGACACCGCGCCGTCTCCGGCCTGCGCGGAGGCCTCTCCCGGCGCCGGGCAGTGACGTCTCCCGGCCCCCGGCTCTGTGCGTGCGTGGCCCGCAGGCGTTGCCAGGGCGACGGTGCGTCCCTCGCGACCCGGCGGAGGCCCGGGCCTGGCCGCAGTGCGCAGCCTCGGAGCCCCGCCCGCAGGGGGCGGTCGCGCAGTGATGACGTCGCGGGGGCCTGGCCGGGCGTCGCGGACCCCGGAGATGGAGGAAAAGGAGTTGTTACGGCAGCAGATCCGCCTCCTGCAGGGTGAGTCCGGCGGGACTGGGGTCGCGCGTCCCTTTCTTTCCCCTCACCTCGCGGGGGTCGCTGTCCGCGCCCGGTCTCCACGGCCGGGTCGGGTCGAGTGGGCGGTGGCGACCCGGGGGGGCTCCCGGGCCCGCCGGGTCAGCCCCCTGCCCGGTTTCGTTGGACGGATACCGCGGGCCCTTCCTGCGCTGCGGCGGGCGGTCGCTTAGCAACCGGCCGGGGGCGCCCGCCGACCCCCACGGCGGGTCCCCGGCGCCCGCGCGCTCGCGGCCGGGCCGTGGGGCGGACGGCGGGGGCGCGGCAGGCAGAGCTCGCCCGGCGAGGGGTGTGCTTCTCCCGGACGCCCCGTTTGACGCCCCTCTCCTCGGTTCGGTCACACTCCTGGCACTCCAGACCCAGACTCCCCAGCCTCAGCTTCCAAACTTCTCCATTTTTACAGCCCGGCTGGGTTTTCTGTACTGTAAAAAATGTTCCCCCTTTCAAGGTACTCCCACAAAGTGCAGACTTAAGGACTTGGGATGTGCGTATGGGAGAGTCTAGGTGTGCCGGCCCCTCCTTTGGCCACTTCTTGGGCTTCCGTCATAGCCGCCCTGAGGTGTCACCGGGTCTGGCTCTCTTTGGGACCTGTGTTGGGAGAGTGTCATAACTGGGGTGCTGGCCGTTAGTTGTCAGTTGAGTTGTCAATGCCTTGGAGCCTGGATTGTCCCAGCCAAGACCTGTGCCCCTCCTGCAGCAGGACGTGCATCCGGGGCTTCCTTGGAAAGGCCCTGTGGTGGACCGTCAGTCCGCTGCACTGGGGCTGCCCTGGTCAGGCGTCTCATCCCCGGAGGGGAGGACTGTGATGTTCTTGTCAAGCCTGGAGTGCCCGCCGTCGGCCATCTTACACTCACTGTCCTGGGTAACAGGCAGGGAGATCGTTAAGGTGCAGCCTTGCCCCCTTTCCGTCGGTGGGCAAGCCAGAGGCTGTCCCCCTTCTTGTCGAGGCGCTGCAGCGTGGGGCCTCGCTGGTGTCCTCATATTGAGTGACAGTGCTCCTCAAAGGGTGGTGGACTCAGAATAATATTCCTAGCAATTAGGAAATATTATGCCACAGGGCTACATTTTCAGGGTAGGCAACCAGAAATAGGACTGAAGTGAACTGATGGGAAAAGACTCATGGAAAAAACAAGCCTAAGAGATTTAGGCTGAACTGTCACTGGTTCTCAGATGCAGAGGGGCTCAGGAGAGATAGAGGAGATGTGGGGTGTGTTTCAGCTGAGGCCCCTCCAGGGGACTATTGCTGATTTTACTCTGGCCCTCTGGTCAAGCCTGTGATTCTGTCTTCTAGGTTTGATTGATGACTACAAAAACCTCCATGGCAATGCCCCTGCCCCAAGCACCTCAGCCACTTCCCGGTGGCAGCCACCAGCCTACAACAGCAGCAGAGCCTTCAGTGCTCGCTATCCTCGTGCAAGCTGGAGGGGCTTCGCCCCGAGCCATGGGCCTGCATGGCGCAAGAAGTACTCTCTTGTGAATCGGCCCCCAGGATCCTTGGACCCTCCCGGCGACTGTGCTGCACAGCAGACCCTCGGGGCTGGAGGCAGCCAGGATCCCAACCCCCAGCAGTATGTCTTAGAGAGGCAGGTTCAGCTCAGTCCAGATCAGAGCATGGTCATCAAGATCAAGCCACCCTCAAAGCCTGGCTTGGCCAGCAATGCAGGGGTCTCTCGGGGCTCCTTGGAAGAATATGAGAACCCGCCTTGGAATGATCACAGGCCTCAGGAAGGTCAGGGTGAGACCCCTGGCAGGCAGCGGCAGCCCTCGAAGCCAGGAAGGGCCAAGGGGACCTGTACCACAGAGGACTCCCATCTGGTCTGCCAGAAAGAGGCTGGCAAGCCCCGGGTGGTCAAATCTGTGAGCAGCTTGAGTGACAGCCTGTCAGAGTCCCGGCGGACGGTCAGTGAGAGCGCCATTTCTGTTAAGGCACGCTTCTTGTCTTCCACCCTGTCCCAGCGCAGTGGCATGGGCCTGGCTGGGAAGGCGGGCTCACACCCTGTGGCCAGCTGTGCTGCCCAGCTCTGTGGTGATGGGAGAGCAGATGCTGGCCACTCAGATCAGCCAGCTCCCTCTGGCTCCATGGCAGGGTCCCCTAGGCCAGCTTCCGGACCCAGGCAGGCCCAGGAGGCCTCATTGCTTGTGTCCTGTCGAACCAACAAGTTCCGGAAAAACAACTACAAATGGGTGGCTGCTTCGACAAAGAGTCCTCGGGCCCCTCGGAGGGCCCTCAGTCCCAGAGCAGCTGCGGAGAATGTGTGTGCCACAGAGCGAGTGGAGAAGCTGCAACCAAGAGCTGACCCAGATGCCAAGCCCAAGAAGTCGATCATGTCCTCCACACCGAGGGCCACTGCCAGCAAGTACAAGTGGAAGGCCTCCAGCCCCTCGGCCTCCTCCTCTTCCTCCTTCCGTTGGCAGTCAGAGGCTGGCAGCAAGGACCATGCCTCCCAGCTCTCTCCAGTCCCATCTAGGTCCCCCCCGGGGGACAGACCAGCAGGGGGACCCAGTGGCTTGAAGCCCCTCTTCTGTGAGACCCCAGGCCTCTCTGCTTACAAAGTGAAGAGCCGAACCAAGATCATCAAGAGGCGGGGGAGTGCTAAGTATGTGTCCCAGCTGCCACCCCAGGGTCCTGTATGGGCCAGCAGAGTGGGGCTGAACTTGGCACTCTCTTGTTGGTCTGCAGAGCCAGTGGGAGGGGCCTGCCTACAGGGGTGTGGGAGGAGGAAATGAAGTATCACTTGCCACCTCCTGGTCACTGCCTGGTTGAGCCTGAGTGAGAGCAGATGAGGCCAGGGCCTTGCCTCAGGCCTCCAGCCAGGCAGGGACAGGTGGAAGCCAGTGCCAGCTAGCCCACTCTTTCTCCGGCTGGGAGACGCTGCTGGGACAGCTTTCCTTCTGGGCGCCCGATTTGTGAACAGGAGGCTTTGTGCCTGGCCCGGTGCTGGCCGGGCAAATACAGGGTGTCTGCTGGAGGAGCTGTCTCTCCACTAGGGAAGCAGAGTGCCTCATAGTGGCCTGGTGACCACATGTCCCCCTCCCAGCCTCCAACCCTATGGATTGTGAGGAGGCTCAAAGATTGGCACCATGGCCTGGTGCATGGTCTGGGGTCAGGGACTTATCTGAGGCCGCTACTGCTGGCAAGTCCATCAGACATGGCCCATGCCCCTCCTTACTGTGAGTGCCCCTCTACAGGTCCTTCCCACTGATCTTGATCTTTGACCCTGCTGTCCCTCTCTGAATGACCCCATCTTTTTCTGGATGGCAGCCTCTGTTTCAGGAGGGTGGGCAGGAGGGAAGCTGTGTAAGTAGCCTCTCCTGCAGAGAGGGCTGGGATGCTTGTGGCAGCGTCTCTGGACATCCCCAGTCTCCTTTGCCATCCCAGTTCCACTGGGGGCTCATTGGGCCTGGGGACATGGAGGAGACAGTCTGGGTGGGGGTCAAGGGCTGGGCCATTTTCCTCTGCTTTCAACCTTCCCTGGCTTGGGGATCCTGGGTTCTCCCCCACTGTGGCTGGGAGCTGGCAGATCTGCTGCTACTGGTGAGGTGGGAACGGGGAGCAGGTAGGGCTGGAACCCATGGGGCCCAGTCAGCTGCCTCCTAGGTACTGGGGTCCAAGTGGGCCAGGGTGGCTGGGGGAGCCGTCTGCTGCAGGACGGCCTGTTGAAAGCAGCCAACTCTATCTCCGCAGCCTTCCTGGAGACAAGAAGAGCAGTCCCCCCACACCTGCCACTGCTAAGAGCCAGTTCAGCCTGCGGAGGAGGCAGGCCCTCCGGGGGAAGAGCAGTCCCGTTCAGAAGAAGACCCCCACCAAGGGCCTGATGCAGGTCACCAGGCACCGGCTATGCTGCCTGCCTCCCAGCCGGGCCCAGCCTCCCCCCAAGGAAGGTATGAGGACAGGAGGGGGGGCTCTGGGGAGGACAAGCTCTGGGAAGCCCTGAGGTGGCCCCACACTGGCCCCGCTGCATTCCTGTTGGTGGCAGGAATGGGAAGGAGCTGAGAGGGTGGCCACCATGAAGTCCTGAAGGAGGAGGCCCAGGCCTCCCTGCCTTTCTCCTGGCCTGGGAGGGTCAGCTTTGCCTTCTTTGTGAGTCACTGGTGTTTAGTGAACAGGGTTGGGGGGAGTTTGTGGGGCATGGCCCTGCAGTAAGGTGATGGCAACACATTGGGGGAACTGTGGCCAGGCTGGCACGGGCTGGGGGGGTCCATGGCCGGGACCAGGGGCTGTGGGGAGTGGGCAAGGTGGAGGCAGGCGATCACCGTGATGCTGCCCTGGAGCATCACTCACCTGGCCCTGTAGTGTCCCCTTTCCCTCCCCTTTGAGTAGCTGGGGGAGCAAGGGGTAGTGGCTTCCCAGGCTGGTGCCTGTGAAATATGGAGGTAACAAGGTTTGGGGCTCAGCAGGCTTGGCCCCAGGCAGTTCAGCTTGGGACTTAAGCTCTCTCTACTGTGTTGTGCCTGGTACCCCAGGTCCCAGCTGAGGGCTTGAAGCCGGGGAGATCCTGTCGGCAGAGCTGAGCACCTTCGTGGGAGCTGGCCACTAGAGGGCGGGCGTGGGGCCACAGGAGGAGGTGAGGAGGACAGGCTGCAGGGAGCTGGCTGCCCACCTGCCTTCTTTGGCTGCCACACCCTGTATGCCATGGCGAGTGTGGACTACATCCCAGAGTTTCAGAGCAAAGGGGCTGGGTAGGGTTGCTGGTGGTGGAAGCCCAGCCCCGTCCCCACTTCAGCCCTGCCGTGTGGCCTGGTGGTCAGCAGAGGGCGCACTTGCCCCTCTTATCCTTCAGTCCACCTTTTTCTGGTAATTGATTGCCTAATTTTCTCTTTATGTGAAAGAAAGCAGATATCAAGTAATTTGCAGCAATAACCTGCTAATGCTGGGCCAGTATCAAAACTCCCCTGTTCATTTCAAGTGGCAGATAAAACACTAATACATAATTATCCTTGCAAATTGGATTGTTTTAAATAACCAAAAGGCTGTGGCCAGGAGAAGGCGATCCCATCTCCCTTGAGTTACTGTTGCAGTGTAATTGCCGCGTTCAATCAATTTCCCTGGCATTAGAAATTCCATCACAATCAACATTAAGCTTTATTCATTGTGATGGCTAAGAGCCGGGCCATTTCTCCTCTTTTTCTTAACTGGCAAAATTAATCAGGGAAAAGATTTTAAACATTTACCCGTGCGAAAGAGGTCAGCTCTGCCACTGTATTGCTCAGCAGATAAGGGGCTAATAAAAAGAAAATTGAATTACTAATGATCACCAGGAACAGAGTATATAAAACCTGGTGATCGCCGGTTCAGGGAGAAGGAGAATCAATTTTCCTGGGACAAGGTGCGCTCATTTTTTATTTTGGCGCATATTATCAGCAATTTAATTTGAGAGCGCATAAACAGGAGGAAACAGTTAGGGGATGATGAGCCCGGAGGTGCGGCGTGCCGCAGGATATATGCTGTACACAGTGTATTTGGCACAACAGATAATCGCTTTAATTGAATTCAAAACTGCATTGTTCAGCAGGCTGGGGCCGCGGCGCCCTGGGGACTGAGTTGTGAAGGTTCCAGCCTAACTCCTTGGTTCCCCTGCTCTGTCCCCTCACTCCCCTCCCTGCTCCCCTGCCTTCCGAAGGGCCTGGTTCTTTGGGATCAGAGTCAGACTTTGGCTGGGGTGCAGGGCGAGGGCCCTGGGGTCACCACGTGCTGAGGGAGCTGAGGGCCTGGGGTCTCCACTCTGCAGTCAGCATGCCTCTTGCCTGCCTTGCTTCCCTTTTGTCCTGGGGACAGGCCATTGGCAGGTGGGGGATCGAGCAGGACACCTGAGAAGGGGCCCGGGGAGCACATTTGCTGACGGGCAGGGCTCCCACATTGCGGCTGGAGAGACCCGTGTGGTCTGCCTCAGGGCAGACAGAGGCTGGAGGAGGCAGCAGAGAAGGAAACCTCTCCTAGACCTCAGACATGGTTTGCAGTTCACCACCTGTGTGCTTGTGGCAGTTAGTCATTGCAGCGAGGAGCTCACGGCACACGCAGCCCACACAGACTGTCCCTCAGTGCAGGCCCAGGAGCCCAGGGCCAGCTCCGGGGTGTCCCCTTCCAGCCACCCTGGGCCCCAGTGCTGTGACAGGCTGGGTGTGTGCCACTGAGCCTGGCTCCAAATGCAGAGAGCATGCTGCCCAGCTCACAGGCACCCAGACCGGGAGGGAGAGCCAGTGATACTGCCGGCTTCGTGGGGCCTGGCAGCCCATCCGGCCCCGTGGGCCCCAGACTATGGGGCTTCATGGTGGCAGCAGGTCACAGGATTCCTACAGCCAGAGGAAAATGTTTGCTGTCATGTGCCAAGGACAAGCCTGGGGTAGGTGGTGGTGTCAGAAGTTACTGGGATGGGAGAGTCCTATTGCCTCACCTGCTCAGGACGGTGGACATGTGGTGGTAGCCCACCCTCCTCTCCTTCCTGAGCCAGGGGCCCTGCCCATGAAGCCCCAGACCGCACAGAAGTATAGCCAGCATGGAGGGCGAGGGAGGCAAGTTGCTCACCACTGTCTGGGCAGGGCTGTGGTCGACAGTGAAGGCCCGTTTTCATCCCTCCGACCAGAGCTGCCCTTCTACCAGCCCCCACCCCTCTCAGCAGGCTCCACCTCTCTGACCAGGTGTGCCTAGTGGGCCGGGCAGCAGTCCGGTGGCCAGGAGCCTGCTGCTTGGCCCTGGGCAGCCGTGTGTGTGGCCCGTGCAGGCCTCAGGGCTGTGAGAGCGTCCGTGGGCAGAGGGAGCCCAGCTCTGGGTTTCCACAGACAGGAGGTGTTTTCGCACCACTAGTGCTTTCCCAGGGTGCTTTGGGTGACTGGGAGCAGGGGTCCAGTTTAGAGTGCAGGCTGCTGGGTGGACTGACTGTTAGGGGCTGTGTGCCCAAACTCCCGGGCTCAGCACTGTGGGAGCAGAGAAGCCTGGTGGTGGGGTCTGCCTGCCCAGCCCGCCTCGGGAGCACAGCACTGGCCAGCTCTCTTTCCGCAGGTAGCCCAAGGCCACTGGCCCCAGTCTCCCGCCCCAGAGCTGAGGAAGAGGGCAGGCGGGAGGGTGCAGGCCGGGCCGGTCGGCTCTCCCCTGCGTCCCTGTCCTCTCCCACAGTTGTTGGGAAGCAGCCCTGCGCCCTGCGCCCGTCCCGGGTTTCTGGAGGCACCGGCAAGCCCAGGAAGGGCTCCAGGCTGGTGCTGCACGGCCTCGCCCTCTCCGTGCCTGTGACCGGCTGAGGGCCGTCTCCCTGCTGCTGTGGGGCTGCCGCACGGGGTCTGCGGTCCCCCACACGCTGCTTGCAGGGCTCGCTTTCTCCTGTGGCGAGCGAGCGAGGGGCGAGCCAGCAGTTAGGTCTGCAGCCCGGCCTGCAGAAGGGAGAAGGAAGTGCTGAGCTAGGGCTCGAGAGGCGGCAGCGCAGTCCTGGGTCTTGCATGAATTACTGGGCACGGCTCCGGTCCTGCATCGGTTGTGGCTGCGCCAAGTAATTGTTCCCCAGTTTGGCGGGAATCGTGTGCACACGGGCTCGAGTGGAGCCTCGGCAGGGTCACAGCCTCTAGGGCCGCCTTGCCCTCTGCGGAGCAGGGGTGGGGGAAACGACCGGAGAACCTGAAGCCTGGGCAGCAGGGCTGTTCTCAGGACGGCTGGAGCTTGCACCCCAGGAGTCTGGGAGCACCCTTCTTGTGGGCTGGGTCCCAGGTTGGGGATGGCTTGGCTGTTCCTTGTGTAACGCCGGAGATGGAGTGCCCAGGGCTTCACACGTCGGAGTCAAGCCCAGCCTCCTTGCCCACCCACCCTGCCTCTCCCCTTGGCCCTCAGTGGGTGTGGATCTTAGTCCACTGGTGCCTGGGGCAAGTTCCTGGTGAGCAGGAAGAGCTGACTCCCCTGGCGTCTCCTGCCCAGTGCAGGGCTGGCAGGCGGGCTGGGGAAGGGAGGGCCGTGGGGACGAAGTAGCCCTGCTGTGCTTCCTGCCCACAGGGCATCTCGTGTTCTGGCCACTCACTCCTCTCTATGCCATCCCTGTCCCTGGTAAGCTGACGGTCATTGAATGTCAGCAAGCCCTAGGTGCTATGCTGGGCATGTGGCCAATGGGCCAGCCTGGGAGGCCCCCCCAACAGCCTCGGGACAAAAAGGGATGACGCCAGCACAGATGCGACTCATGATGGCAGAGAGAAGACAGACAGACTGGCCAGCTGGCGGGAGGTGGTGCCAGGCTGGGCAGGGCTTCCTGAGGGCCAGAGGGTGGCGGAACCTTGGGATGGGGTTGGGGCAGGGCGGGGGCTTCTGACAGAGTGCACAGTGAGTACCAATAGGGTCAGGGCAGGTGTTGGAGCAGGTGTGGTTTCCCTTCACCTGGAGTCCTGGAATGAAGGGGCAGGGACGCTGAGAGTGACCGCCCGGGCAGGAGGCCCGAAGTCAGCTAACCATAATGCTGCTTCTGCAGCCTCTGGGCCACCTTCCTGCTCCACCTTCCTCCTCGGCTGCCAGGCTCCCTGTCACCCACCCCTCGCGGGCTGTCCCTGTGGTGCTGCCCTGGGAGGTGCCGGCCCAGACTGCAGCACTGTCAGCACCATCAGTGCTGCTCGCGGTGCTGGGCGCTGGGCGCTGGGCTCTGGGAGGCGGCCGAGGGAGGGCACGGAGCCATGCTGTTTGCTGAGTGGTGCTGTTCCACACCCTGCACCCCGGTGACCTTCCCAAAGGTGGAGAGTGAGGGGGGGCAGCCATCTGCACCTGAGTGTGGCCTGCCGAGCCACTCCTGCGGGGCCGTGCAGTCACCAGGCCTCCTGCCAGCGCGGGAGACACGGAGGTCGGCACTGAGGTGGGACAGGTGGGAGCGGCAGGCATGGGCGCCGCGTGTCTGACGACGTCCCGATGTCGAGGTGGCAGC